GTGATGTAATGAAGGCTTTACTGACTATTAAAACTAATTCTGTCGGGTCTGACGGTGTAAGCTTACAAATGATTAAACTATGTCTACCTGTTTTACTGCCCTACATCACACACGTGATTAATTCATATATAATTGACTCGGTATTTCCAGATAAATGGAAATGTTCGCTGGTTGTACCACTACCCAAAAAATCTGGTCCACACACTTTAAATGATATTAGACCCGTATCGGTGCTTCCAGTTCTGTCTAAGGTACTGGAAAAGATACTGGCATCACAGTTAACGGGTCACCTAAATCAGTTTGAAATCTTACCCGACTTGCAGTCAGGTTTTAGATCTGGCTACAGTTGTGCCACTGCGCTGGCAAACGTTATGGATGACATTGTTACGGCTAGGGATGCGGGATTAACTACAGTGCTTGTTCTTTTGGATTTTTCAAAGGCTTTTGATATGATTGATCATAGGTTGCTGTTATGTATACTTCATTATGTTGGGATGGGCCGGTGTGGTGTTCAGTTAATGGATGATTATTTGCGAGATCGTATACAGAGTGTGTTGTTTGGGGGCAGTCGATCCAGCATTTTAAATGTGAAATCGGGCGTTCCCCAAGGCTCAGTGCTTGGTCCATTGCTGTACTCGATATATACACTCAATATTCAAAAGTACATTCGTACCTGTCGCTATCATCTCTGTGCGGATGATACACAGATATATTACTCCTTTAAGCCATCGGATGTTGCGTTAGCTTCTCGTCAACTCAGTCAGGACTTGAGCGGCATTCTCCGCTTTGCGGATGATCACGGTTTAGTGGTAAATTCGGATAAAACTGTTGGTTTGGTCTTTGCGAATGGAAGAAATAAACTGGCTGCCCAGCGGGATCTGGGATTGCTTATTGGAGGGGCTGAGGTGATGTATCAGGATTCGGTCAGGCATTTGGGAGTCTGGATAGATTCAGAATTAAGATCGAGGAAGTTTGTGTCCTGCCTAGTCAGGAGGGCGTTTGCCAGTTTAAAGATGTTATATTCACACAAAACGGTTTTGAATGTGAAATTTAGAAAATTGTTATGTGAGTCATTTGTACTATCACATTTTATTACTGTGATATACTTTATCATTCGTTTAAAGATCAAGTTAGTGCTGATAGAATTCAGAGAGTGCAGAATAGTTGCTTACGATTTATCTATGGTATTAAACGTCGTCAGTATGTTTCTCATATGTTAGAGGCCGCCAATTGGCTAAATATATGGAGGAGAAAATTTTTACATACCGCTTTGTTTTTTCATAGTGTGTTGACTTGGCGAATGCCTCCTTACCTGTACTGTCGTGTAACTTACGGATCTGATATTCACAATCTCGGTACTCGATTCAGAGGTCAGGTCGCAATTCCAAGGCATAGGACTCAACTATTTAAGAAATCATTTTCATACAATATTGCAAAGTATTTCACTAATCTTAATCGTTGCTTTTGTTTTAAGTCGAGATATGAATTTGAAAAGGCCGTCATAAAATATTTATCTGAGCTGCGGTGAGGGTGGGTTCGTTAGTTGTGGCAATGTTCAATGTTTTTTTTTTCTGCGGGCTGCGTGGAGGAGTGGATCGTCACTATGTTACGAGCTAAACGCAGTCCATTTAGTTGCAACCCCGTTCTATTGTAATATATGTTGCTTTTGTAATTTTTTTTTGTATATTCATGTTTGATTTTTTTTTATATTAAATATGTAAAGTATGTGGGTTGTGCCAATAAATATTATTATTATTATTATTAATTCTGCAAGAATTCTTTTTGTAACCATCGCTTCTCGATGTATAGCACAATGGTACCACTCTGCAGATGAAGATACTTGCTTTATTCTCGCCTTCAGACTTGTTATTCTTCCGGACATAGCTTTGTCACCGTTTGTGCTTACACCAACACATTTCGCCCAATCGATTTTATTTTTTTTGAAAAACGTATTTAATTTTTCAAATATTTCTTCTGTGGTGATGTCAATTAAGAAATCTACAAAGAACAGGACCAAGGTGACACACGAACTTTTTGTATTAAAAGATCTTTTCTGTTTTCTGCCATACTTTAAATTCTTCTTTGCACTGTATTGTTCGACAACGGAATTTGTGTAATTTCTTTCGCAGCTTTATCGCCAATTATTGCGGACACCATAATTTTTGCTGCTGGTAATATGAGATCTTCAGCAATAGTATGTGATTTGCCTTTTTGAGCTACTAGTTGACATACCTTAAAGGAGCCCATTATGACTGAATTGTTTGATGCTGGTACGGCAATGTGGGACACGTTTCTTTGAATATGCTTTAATTGTTTTTTTTTTAAATCCGTGTTTATTTGCTGAAACTCTGGGTGCTTTATTTCAAAATGGTGTCTTAACTTAGCTGATTTCATAGAATAAGTGCTATAAATACTTTACAATACTTACACATGTCAAAAAAAAAAGAAAAAAAAACCGAGAAAAGGCGCAATAAAATGATAAAATACAATAAAAGTTCAAAACTGGGAAAAAAGAAACATATTAAAAAAAAATAAACACATTTTTTCAATACAAATTTCATGTAAACATACATATTCATGAATTTATGCACTCGTGACATGTCATGTCACAAGATACAAATTCTTCAACCAAATAGAAAGCGCGCCTTGACAAGAAGCTCTTCAAGTAATTTTTGTATCTAGCAGTCGGGAGCATCTGTACAGTTTTTGGCAATTTATTAAATAACTTTGGGGCAATGTAGTTAAAACTTCTCTGGCTTCTGGACAATCTATAGTATTGCGAGTCTTTGTTACGAGTGTTGTAACTGTGAGCATGTCATCCATTTGTTTCAAACTTACTTATACAATGCCTTGCATATACAGCGCATTCCAAAATGTAGAGGCATGGAAATGTTAAAATATTTAGTTTAATGCAAGAGCCTTTATTCCACACCATATTTCAAATTGTCCAGAATTCTGATAACTCTGCGCTGTAGTCTGAAAACACTATCGCACATGCTCGCACCGCCCCACGCAAGCAGCGCATAGGTCATAGTAGCTTGGCAGAGGGAAAAATACGCAACGCGCTTCCATTTCCGTGTTCTTTCACCATCAATCATTTCACTATTATAGTCTGTGCGCTACCTCTTGTTCAATTTATCTGAATATTCTCTTTGGATTTGATACAAGATCAACTTCCACCATTATTTAATTATTAAACAAGCTATGGAAACTTTATTTCCGACGATATGTTAATTATTGCACAAAGTGAGATAACTTGTTAATAAATATAATTATTTTTGTAGGAAACTTCGTGGAAATTTCAAAACGATTGAAGATATCAAAAACGTACTTCATAAAGGAAAAAGTTATCAACGATTTCTTGAAGCGAATTTTTTAATATAATATTGCTACTAAAATACCAAAGTTTTTTTATTCTATTTCTAGTTTCATTACCAAGTACAACATTAGATAGGTATTATATGTATAAGAATTTTATTATTGAATTGTATAACAGACTATTTTATTAATAAGGAATTATAATATGATGTGAATATTCATTTATTTTTTGTACTAGAACAAAACATTTTATGCATAAATATTGCTTGAATTAATTCAAAAGGAATGTCTTTAAATTCTCTACCTTTCCTAAATCACTCTTTTATTATTTGTCTTTCTTTTTCTCTGTAGTTTCAATAATTTCTTCTGCGCCAATATCATCAACACGACTTTTATCAACAGGATACAACCTGAAATGTTATAAATATTTACAAAAAATAAGTTATGAAATCCTAAACTTACCATCTTTGGTAAAGATAAATAAGAAATACAACATCGTCTCTAAAACATGCCAATCTATGAGCTGTTGGCATTGTTATAATAAATGCAAAAATATCATCGATAAACGTGTTAAACGCTCTGTAGGTGAACGCACGCCATGGTAAAGCTGCCACCGATTTCAAACGATAATTTACAAATAATTGAGGTAACATGAATAAGAATCCAAAAACGTACACCCCATTTACTAAACTGCTAATTGTCCAAGAATACCAACTAAAAAGAATAACATGTAAAATAAAATTTTATAAATCTTAAAAAATAAAACCTCTTATGTGGTTGATAAAGAAGTGAATAAATCGCACCACCAATACACAACGGATACAAAATATAACTTAAGTATTTCATAGATTCTTCATCGTATTGACGAGTTTTTGCTTCAGCTTCCGTTTCAGTGGTATGTTTATTAAATTTTAATCCATTAAATGTGATTGATGGTTTTAAAACTTTGTTTACTTTCCAAAACTAATAATTTAAAGTAATTATAAAAGTGTTGACAAGTACAGGATGATTCAAAAAAAATTGCAGGTAGGATGAAAATTAGCTTTTCTATTTTATATATTTAACCCTCGTCCGACGGCACAATTTTACAACGTTAACAGGCGGCGAAAATACAATTCGACGCTGAAAAAAATGTTGGCATAAACGCCAAAATGGTCACTTTTTACTTATTTCCCATTGAACAGGTCTCAGCCTGTTCAGCCCACATGTAATGCAATTACCTATTTAATAACTTCATTCATAAACCTATTTAGTTTTTTTTTCTTGTCCAACTGCTGAAATTTACTGATTCAATTTTATTAATTTCCTGAATAAAGGCGAATTATTGAAGATTCAAATTCTGACCGTAAAGAGGAGACATATGTTGCATCTGAGGTTGAGAACAATTTGCCATTAGCAGATATGTCCACCGTAGCGAAATCAGATAGTGAACTGAATAGGTATTGGATGAAGAAACTAACACGATTCTGACGAAAGTGTAGAAGATATATATCAAGGTATTTTGTTATTGTTAATATTTTGACAGCGAAAGACGAAACAGATTGGCATAGTAATCTACCTAGCCAAACAAACTCTCGTAATTTTTACGGCAAAAAGGATGGTCTGTAGCAATCAGGAACAGGTATACAGCTAAACAGAATTTCGAGTTAATAACGTCTCCAGAGATATCTGACATTATATTAAGGGAAACAAATCGGAAGGTTAATAGAATTTCTGGCCAATCTAAATCTCGGCCACCACAGAACCCATTTCAAACGTTTACGGAAGTTAAGCTTCACATTTTTTTAGGTGCATTAATTTTTAGTGTTATGCGCAAAGAAAATAAGCAGAATCTAGATGCTATGTGGAAAATTGATGCCCCGGGCAGCTATATCGGGTGACCGATTCAAAATGATGCTAAGGTTAATCAGATTTGGTAATAAAATTACACGTATAAAACAGACAAAGTAGCACTAATATGGGACAATGCTGAACAAAAATTTGGAGAAAGCCTACAAGCCGCACGAATGTATTATCATTAATGAACAATTATTACGATATAGAGTTCATACTAAGTTTACACAATAGAAACCTTCCAAACCGGCAAAATATGGAATAAAAGTTTTCTGGGCTTGTGATGCATCAAGTGGCTATCCGTTACAACGAGACAGGTTAGTGTTTGTAAACGAATAGTGTTAGGTTGAGTAAGTCCTTATAAGTTTCGAATTAGCATAAGTCTTGAACTCCTGGCATATGACACTGGTTGGTACAGTAAGAAAAAACAAAAGATTCCTACCAAGAAATATGGAGAGAGCTTATATCATTGATGCATATGATTGGGTAGGTGAAGACACACGAGCAGCAAACCCTGAGATAATCAACTACTATAATAAAACTAAAGGCGAAATAGATACCATAGATACGTTGTACTAGCCTCTAAAATTCTTTTATAATATAATTGACATCAAAAAGTTTTCAATCATATCACGATAACGCTCCCCATTGACAGTTACCGTTACGCCGTTTTCAGTTTTAAAGAAGTGAGGTCCAATGATTCCTCCTGACCAAATTGCACACCAGACTGTCATTTTTAATGGATGCAAAGGTGACTGATGAATAATTTGAGGGTTTTCCATTACCCAGAACCGACTAATAAATTTGCCACGTCTCTACTTCACGACTGCCAAATATGAACTGTCAAGACTAATGTTTACCAAAATGGCGGCAAAACAAATTAGTATACCTTCCCGGCGGACACCCGGTACAAAAGGAGTGCCTTATCACTGAAAACAGGCTCTTCACTCAAGTTGATGCAGGGTAACCTCAGAGGACACCTCGAAATCCTCAACGACCCATGTCTAAATCACTTGACTGAAATTAAAACGGATCTTATACCGACAGAATTGGACGAAGGGTGGGCCTCAACTAAAAAGAGGAGCTCTAGCCTGGTACACGGATGCTGCAAAGACAGTTGGATCTGGAGTAGGCATGGGCAGTAGTGGACCAAATAGCCGCATTAAATTGGCGTTAAGCTCGGACATAACCATTTTTCAAGCAGAAGTTGTTACTATAGACTTCTACATCGCTCTGAACCTACAAAACGGGCAGAAAGGTGCATCTATAAACATTTTCACAGACAGTCTGGCCCGTTGCTGTACCAGCAACCTGAGAGAATTCGCTAGGGGCAATGATGTTACTCTATGGTGGGTTCCAGGACACAGAAACATTGAGGGCAATGAGAAGGCGGACAAGCTGGCAAGAGAGGCAGCAAAAACGCCCTTCATTGGACCCCAACCCGGTTGTGGATTACAAAAAGGCGACTTAAAACAAATAATCAACAGTTGGGAGGTTTCAAAGGTGGCCTTACGCTGAAAAGAACTTCCAGGTCACAAAAAAGTGAAGAGTATGACGCAAAACAAAACCAAAGAGGTTTTATGCCTCAGCAAAGGGGATCTAAGGACGCTCCCAGGTTTCGTCACCGGCCATGCGTCCATAAAATACCACCTCTTCCACATTGGACAAGCTGAGAATCAAACATGTCGACTTTGCAATGACGAGTCAGAAACGGCTGAACATATATTGTGTAATTGCGTCGCGAGTGGTCGTCTAAGACACAAAATTTGCGGTAAAGCTCTTTTGACACCTACCGACATAAAGGAACAAGACTTTGGAGCAATACTAAGGGTCTACATTTACCCTAAACTTTTGGATGGTTAAAGTTACAATATATCTTATAGGTCGCGGTGACAAGAGCAATAATAATAAGCTTGGATGGAGTGGGAAGGGAGGTCTAGGTAATAAAATTTTTTTGTTCTGTCATTTAAGTCATTCAAGCTATACAAATTTTTAACATTTAAGTTACTTTTGAATCATCCTGTAAATAAAAGAAAGTTCTTACTTCTATTGCTGTTCCTATTCCACTTGGGACTAAAACCAAGTAAGAAGTACCTTCATCTAAGAGGTATAAAAATATGATTGTTTGAGAAAAAGCACGCCATACAACCGTTCTTGTTGATAAACCAGCCATTGATTTATGTGATTTCCAAAAACTGACGTCATTTTTAAATGATAAAAAGTCGAGCAAAAGCTAAAAAAAAATTTAATATCATGAAGTATTAAAATTAATTTATATACTTACATGAATACTTCCAATACAAATTGTAGCACACAAAAGATATAAATTAGTATCAGCAAAAACTCCTTTAACCTCATCAATATCTTTATCAGTAAAGCCAAGTTTTTTAAAATTCTTTATTGTAACTTCCATCTCAACCATAAATTTAAATTTACCTATTGAAACTGGGTTATAAATATAATTAAACATTATTTGAGATGTTTCTTTAGTAATTTCTTCTAAATCTCTTAACCTTGTCTGCATAAAATCATTAACAACAATCGGAAGAAATTGTCTTTTCCTATTAATTTTTAAATAATGAATCACTTCTTGTGGAATATTTGTTTCTGGAATGTGTAATTCACTGTTACACATCATGATTGAGTATCTACTTTTGATATGAGTTGTTGGTTTAACAGATGATTGTTTAGATTCTTCTTTTAAAAGATTAAAGGTAAAACTTTTTGGTACAACATATTTCGTTAAACGACCTTTTAAGTAACTTGATTCATAAACGTTTCTAGCTTCGTTCAATGATAAATCTTCATTATTTACATTTGAGGGTAAAATTACCGAGTGAATTATTAAACTACCATTATTTCGAACTGTTTTTGATATCTCCAACTCAATTACTCTTAAATAAAATGATAATTAATGAAATTGCACAAATGTAATTTAGTTTAAGATGTGTTACCTTTCAAATGGTTCATCATAATTAAATTTATTAACTTTTAATATTAATTGTTCATCTCCTGATCGTGAATTATCAGTAACATAAACAAGTAGATCTAAAGAAGGTTTTGTGTTTAAATAGGAATGAAAACACACGTCTCCTTTTGCGCAAGAAGGGGGCGTAAATAGCACAACCAAATTCCATACTGAATTAAATATGAATATTATGAACACCCCGAAGAGTAACGAAGTTATCGAAAATTTAAACATTTCAGTCTTTCTTTATATCCATATAGTTTAAATTTTATATTGTACACGTCAACATATCATCATTTTTTATAGGTTAGTTTAATTGTCAAAATAAATACATTTGATTGTAGCGCCATCTAGCTTTCTTGACTTAAAATTAATTATTTCAAATGTAATTAAAAAGGAGTACTAAAAATCATAAAACATAAATTAAAAAATATTTAAATTTGTTTTGTAATGATAATTTCGCAATTAATTATTATGAGTTACACTTTTTTTTATTAATTATTAATTGTGTTATTGGCATTAAATTTAGCGCCATCTATCGTAATTTAATTCTTAAATTCAAATTTGAATTTGCTTCTAAACCAAGAAAATTAAAACGAATAGTTTTTGAAATAAACATGTATTTATTTAAAACAAAGCATTAAACATTAATAATTGAAAGAAAAGTATTAATTGTATTATTCCTCTTCTTCGGTGACTTCAACTTTAGAAGCACCAGTGATGTCTGAAAGTTCTTTTGACCAAAAAGTCGCTATAAGTTTTTGTTCTCCAGCTATTTTTGGTACAATTTCCGTTTCAGCGCTCACCAATTCTCCAGCTTCAACATCAGCAATGGAAAGAATATGATTTCTTAATAAAGTTGGCCCAGAAAGATTAAATTTGCAGTTTGTTAACGTTTTCTTCAATGGATTGATGAATTGAAGAAGAACTCGTGTTGGGGATTTACATGGAATTTCTGATGGAATCTAAAATATAATTAAACGATTAAAATAAAAAAGTGGAAATGCAAGGGACCACTTACTTTAATTGTTATGGTTGGTTTAACAACTTGAAAATCATCTTCATTAGCCCAAGTTTGACGAGTTTCAGTTACAGTTGCAACTGCGCACAATTTCATGTTGCAATATTCGACTAATTTGTCGATGTATTCATCACCAGCAATTCTTAATTCGAGTCTTTCAGCTAGAAAAAAAATATTAATATATCTTTTTAAAAAAATTAATTAATATGTTAGTAATTCTTACATGAGTGTGGTTTTAGCTTAAAGATTCCTTCAGCTTTTTTCACGAGATTCGCTTTTATACCAGTATAAAACACACTGGTGGATGATAAAACAGCTCGAACATTTCTTTCTTCATCGCATTTATTTTTCATGCGAACGATTACACTGAAATCTTCGCCAATTCGAATTCGATCAAGTTCAACCAAATCGAATTCAATGTCTTCTAAATTAGGATCTGGTAAAGCATAAAAACTACAAAAAAAAGAATAAATATAAATGAATCAGACATTTTTAAAACATATACAATCGAAAAGAATGATCAAGAAAGGGAAAATTTGAAGAAACTGGTAATGGCAAAAGTACAGGTAATATTCTGCTATTGATTTTGGTATGGGCAAAGTGCTTTGGACGTCCCATTGTACGTTTTCGTTTTGCTAGGATCTGACATAAGTTTTCTGCTACTTTATCTCAAAATTTAGGAAGTTTTAACATTGCTTTACCATGAATTTTACATTAGTTTATTAAAACAGAATCTTGGAAGCTTTGATACGGAATGAATTTCTGTAANAAGTCGGTTTTACACGCTCCAATTTGTAAACAACAAAACTACAGAAAATTCGACTATTATATTGATTCCAAAGGTCGATCAATTTGAAACAGAGCAATAAATACATTTGAAAAATTAGCGTAAATAAATTGTCTTGCTCCGATTTCGTAAAGGCTGTCTTACCCTCATATTACAAAAATTCGCCCTGTGTTAACGACGGCAGTCCCCAAAGATCTGATAGATGCTAAATATACCTAAACATCCCGCCTGTCGAATAGCGTGGTCAGATTTACTTGCTCTGACTTCCTAAGGGCTCTTTTATTCACCCCCATATTAAAAAAATTCGCCCTGTGTTAACGACGGCAGTCCCCAAAAAAGAGCCCTTAGGAAGTTAGAGCAAGTAAATCTGGCCAGGCTATTCGACAGGTGGGATGTTTTAGTATATTTAGCAACTATCGGATCTTTGGGGCTGCCGTCGTTAACACAGGGCTATAATATTTAATATGAGGGTAAGACAGCCTTTACGAAATCGGACCAAGACAATTTATTTACGCTAATTTTTCAAATGTATTTATTGCTCCGTTTCAAATTGATCGACCTTTGGAATCGTGTAAAACCGACTTTACTGTATACCGGGTGATCTCGCTGAAATGGCGTGCTATGTTTGGCGTGCTGTTTTCACACCGGTATAAAATTACACGTATAAAACAGACAAAGTAGCACTAATACGGGACAATGCTAAACAAAAATTTGGAGAAAGCCTACAAGCCGCACGAACGTATTATCATTGATGAACAATTATTACGATATAGAGGTACATACTAAGTTTACACAGTACAAACCGGCAAAATATGGAATAAAAGTTTTCTCGGCTTGTGATGCATCAAGTGGCTATCCGTTACGACGAGACAGGTTAGTGTTGGTAAACGAATAGTGTTAGGTTCAGTAAATCCTTATAAGGGGTCGGGAAGAAATAAGACAACTAATAATTTCTTCACAAGTTTCAAATTAGCATAGGTCTTAAACTCCTGGCATATGACACTGGCTGGTGCAGTAAGAAAAAACAAAAGATTCCTACTAAGAAATATGGAGGGAGCTTATATCATTGATGCATATGCATTGGGTAGGTGATGACACACGAGCAGCAAACCCTGAAATAATCAACTACTATAATAAATCTAAAGGCGGAATAGATACCATAGATAGTACTAGCCTCTAGAATTCTTTTATAATATAATTGACATCAGTGGATTAGCATCTTATGTAATTTATAGAGAACACAATCCATTTAAGAACCAAAGATCAACGCAAAAAATTTCTGAAAGATCTTGCTAACCAACTATTTGGTGCACTTGAAATGGTGGTGATATTTTTTTCGAGAAGTCTTTTCAAGCTTGGCTAAGTAATTACGGTAAACTAGCTTCATCACTACCACATTGTTTTACATCAGACCTTAACAGATACCGATTATTATAACTATTGTCATCGACTGTTAAATACGATTCAGGCAAATCCAAATTTTTATTACAAATATTATAGACGCATGAAGCATCTTTCAACAGTGCAAGTGGTGTAATTTTGCATATGTATGATTGGTTAGAGCAAAACCCACATTGGACGCGACAGATCAACAAAATCGTTGGAGTTTGAACCAGTCCACATTTTTCTGACGAAACCCTTAATAGAGAACGGTTTTTGGAAAACGTTTGCTTGGAAACAAGAAGGAATATGTGGTCCCAGCTTGATGGTCATAATTTGAATGCATTATGACTGAAACGTACGTCAACATTTAGATGAGCAATTCTATTGTCTATAGAAAGTCCTTTTATTTATGGGGTAGCGTTTTAAGAAAAACCAACAGCCAGGGAAAATATGCCGGAGAGAATACGAAATGCCATTAGAAACGTGTTCAAGGCTAAAATTTAACAAGTTTCTACCAGAACTAGATTAAATAAATGTATCGACATTAATTCTAAATGTTATGGTTTATTTTGTTTTATTGTCATTTGATGTTTCGTTAGCTTTTAAATACGTCTCAAAAATAGTTTTGACCCCATCCTAAGGATAGCTTGGTCTACAGTTGCTCGTCTGCATAAGATCTTGGCGAAAGACCATAACACTGATCTAGACCACCTATGCAAACAAGACGGAAAATACACCGAGGATGCTAAGGAATCGCTGGAGCTCTTACTGAGCACGCACTTCCCTTCCTCAAAAGTCTGCCCCCATGCGGATGCCGGCCCTGAAGTAATGGATATAACATATGGAAATATTTTTACACCCAACAGAGTAAGGTGAGCTATTTCTAATTTTAAGCTCCTAAAATCGCCTGGAGGGGATGGAATTCTGCCTTTGTAGGCTCCCAGTAATAATATCCCTATACATATATAGCAAGCTATAGATTTAGCTATATACCTACACTATGGAGGAAAGTAAAGGCGGTCTTCATAGCTAAAGGTGGTAGGCGTTCAAACGCCGATCCCAAGGCATACAGATCAATTAGCCTTACTTCATTTCTCCTCAAAGAGATGGAAAAGGTAATTGATCAATACCTTAGGAATGGAGTGCTGTCACTAATCTAATCCATCCTAGTCAACATGCTTACCGGAAAGCCAAATCAACAATTACTGCTCTCCATGCTTTGACTAGCACTTTAGAGAAGACAATCGCAAACAAAGAGATAGTCCTATGTGCTTTCATAGACATAGAGGGTGCTTTTGATAACACCTTCTACAAACAATCATAACTCAACTAATCCAGAAAGCCCTAGTACTTACCAGCACTTGGTGCAAAAGCAATGCCTCAGCATCAATCCAAACAAAATCGGAATAATCCCTTTCACTCGGAGTAGGAAGCTACAATTGAGAGCACCCTCCATTGAAAGCAGAACTATTAACCTCAAAACAGAAGTTAAATACCTAGGGGTAATACTAGACAGTAAATTAAACTGGAACTCCCACATAGACAAGGTGAGGAAAAAGGTTATTATGGCTAACCAGATCTGCAGCAAGCTCCTCGAAAGGAAGTGGGGTCTCAAACCACGAATGGCTCATTGGGCCTACGTAGCAATAATCAGACCCATGGTCGCCTATGCCTCACTGGTTTGGTGGCCAAAAACAAATTATAAGACAGCACAACAACAGCTGGCACAAATCGAGCGGTTAGCATGTCTTAATATAACGGGGGTAATGACACCTTGTCCGACGGCTGCTCGTGAGACGGAGTACAGGGTGTCCCAATTTCGATGTCCACATAGGCTATCTCCGAAACTAAAAGAGATAGAAAAAAAGTAGCTTACATGTCATGATCTCGTTTTTCAAGAAAATGCTAATGCCGAAAACTCCGAACAGCTATCGTCTTTTGTTTTCGCCCTATCGACAAAAACTGAAAATTTTGCGAAAACGACAATAGCGAATATCTCACTTATTATCAAAGATGGAGTATTATAAATAAAACATTATATGGGCAACTTTTTACGAAGAATTCAGTGGCGTAGGTAGAATTTTTTTCCCATCTTTTATTTTCGAGATTTTAGACGTAACTTTATTTTTTTAAATGGAAACCATAGTTGGCTATGACTTAAAATAATTTGTTATTTTCTTCTGATAACAAATATATATAGTTTGTGGGGTATATTTCTTATAGTTATTGAATAATTAACAAAAATTCATTTTGTTCCATCTAAATCTAATGTATGTATTTAAAAGTTAATGTTGCTATGGTGATAACCATACATACTATGATGGAATATAATGTATCAATTTTTTTTGTTCTTTCTAAAACTATTGTATGTATTTAAAACTTAATGTTGTTATGGTGATAACCATACCATGAGGGAAAGCATTGTTTCCAATTATTGCCAAAGTTTGTAGCAAGGACAGTAGAATCTAACAGGACTGCTACATCCATTGTATTTTTGTAGTCGACTACGGGTTGGTTGCCCGCACTCTACGTCACACTATTTGCCACGCCTGATAACTGTCTATGTTTTTAGAGGTTATATGATAGACATTAATACGTCTAAAAACATAAAACTTCAAAACTAATATGAATACGTCTAGGATATAACCTCTAAAAACACACAGCAAACGCATAGACCATAACAACAGCTGGGCGTGGAAAATGGTGTGACGTAGTTTGCGGGTAGGCTGTCACAACAATGGATGTAGCAGTCCTGTTAGATTCTACTGTCCTTGAGTTTGTAGTAGTATTTAAAAATTCACTAACAACTCTGGCATTATGTGCTGGTGCTCCGTCATATTGAAAATATATCATTTGAGACATATTTAGTGGCAAATTGTCGACCAAAGGCTCAATGTGCTGCCTTAATATATTGAGGTATTTCCCTGAGTTTAAGTTTTTATGGTAGATACTATATGCCAAAATTCTATTATCTAAAAGGGCACACCATACATTGAACCCCAATCTTCTTTGAACACTCAGAGACTTCATCGGTCCAGATAACATTTTGAACAAACAGCAGATTATTTAATTTTTTTAAATATCATCTACAAAATTCTAATCTTCGATTGACATCTCCGGCACGTAAATAATGAGTTAGCCCCGCTTTGTATGGTTTATACTTATTTTTCTTTCATATTCGGGAGCAGCGGCTTTTGGGTCAGACGTCTTGTTGCAATTTCTCTTGCAGGTCATTTTGGTATGTTTTTGTATGTGGTTTGGGGAAGGACCAAATATCTATTAAATTTTCTGCTAACCGGCTGAAGGTTCTTACGTGCGGTTGTCTTCTTTCTGGATATCTTGTGAAATAAAATTCCGCGGCTAACGTCGCATTCTTATCTGATAACATATAGCATTCCATCATGTTACATTTTTCATAATTTTCGAAATTCATTGTAAAGTTTTATTCAGTTTTGTTATACTTTGACACTTAACATGCTGGTGCATCGTACCAGCACATAATGCCAGAGTTGTTATCGAATTTTTAAATACAAACTTTGGCAATTATTTGATACATTATGTTCCATCATAGTATGTATGGTTATCACCATAGCAACATTAACTTTTAAATACATACATTAGTTTTAGATAGAACAAAATGAATTTTTGTTAATTATTCAATAACTATAAGAAATATACCCCACAAACTATATATATTTGTTATCAGAAGAAAATAACAAATTATTTTAGGTCATAGCCAACTATGGTTTCCATTTAAAAAAATAAAGTTACGTCTCAAATCTCGAAAATAAAAGATGGGAAAAAAATTCTACCTACGCCACTGAATTCTTCGTAAAAAGTTGCCCATATAATGTTTTATTTATAATACTCCATCTTTGATAATAAGTGAGATATTCGCGATTGTCGTTTTCGCAAAATTTTCAGTTTTTGCCGATAGGACGAAAACAAAAGACGATAGCTGTTCGGAGTTTTCGGCATTAGCATTTTCTCGAAAAACGAGATCATGACATGTAAGCTACTTTTTTTCTATCTCTTTTAGTTTCGGAGATAGCCTATGCGGACATCGAAATTGGGACACCCTGTACTCACACCACTTTATACATGTTAGACCCAATTGCCGATTTCGGACAAGTGTCGAAATAATCGTACATTTCGCGTAAACAAAAAAGAAAGACGTGTTTGTTTTATTCAGTAAATGTAAGTACAAGATTTCAAGGCTTCTTGTGTTAATGCTGAAGCTTTTAATGACAACCTGAAATGTGTCTTATTGTTAATAATAAAATCTTTACGTGCCCTCTTTCATCGGAAAAATTCAATGAAGTTATACAAGAAGTGAAGGCTTGCAATGACAAAAAAACAGGCTGGTTAACCACTTATACCGCTAGAATACCGACGTCTTCATATATTTGAGGTTCTAACAATAGGAGGGATTGATAATTTAATTCAAAAACGAAGGGATTCTATTTCAATAAAATTCTATTGTCAAATGCATGAAGTGTATGACGTATTAAAAAAAGCACACAAGGAGATAGGACACAAACGAACACTTGCTATGGAGAAGAAAATAAAGAAAAAAGAGAAAAAGAAAGATTTAGTTTCGAAGCCGATATTAACGTAGAACTTTAACAAAAAGTCGATTTAATTGACATGCAGACCGAGTCCGATTTTTTTACCGAAATTTATTTTAAATTATCAGGATCACCTGACAAAATTCGTACTTTTAAAGCCGCTGAAATCTAAGAGAGCAGAGGAAGTCGTGTATAATTTGATGAACATTTTTTGTATTATTGGCGCTCCCTGGTGAGGCTACGTTCGGAGTTCCAATGAAGGATGATCTAAAGGCTTCTAACTTTCCCGATACTGTTGTCAGTCATATTGAGAGGGAAGAAGAGCTGGATGATTTGCTTAACAACCAAACCGACAATCAGTCACAAAAAGAAGTATTAGTTGAAACTAAAGAAATGGATGATAGCTTTAACGACATTAATATATAAACAAATCACTCAACACGGAGGAGGAAGTTCACAAACTTTAAAACGACAAGCTGATAAAATGCTGAAACGCAGTTCAAAAAATTTTCATCTGGACAAAATATTTTATTGAAAATTCCGGATGTTGATCGTGGGCGTACTGCACCTAGAGATATATTAGCTGTTGTTATTTCTGAAAATAAAGGCTTACATAAAGTAGGAACAGCAAATGGTATTTTAGAGAGGCTATATGCTAGAAATGAATTTCAGGTAACAATTCTTTATCTAGTTTAAAATACGATTACAATTTTCTTTGTAGATATCAGAAAGCAACTAAGATCTTGTATTGTGTTGTTAATGCCATGTTGCACATTCGTACACCTATACTTACAGACATATAATTTATTTCAATCTTATTAAAATCGGCATTTGAACTATTCAATCTGCGTTTGCTCAAATTTACTTGCTGAAATGCCGAAATTCAGTTTTATTTCGGCATTTGCTCAAATGCACTTGAACATTTCGCGAAATGTTCAATTATTTCGGTACTTGTCCGAAATCGGCAATTGGGTGTAACATATATACCGGGTGTCCGCCGGGAAGGTATACTACTTTGTTTGTTTATAATTTTTGATTAAATGAAAGAGAATGGATCTTATATTGATAAATGTTTTATTTAATGTCGGCAATTATGTATGGAATACAATATAAGATAAATGTCCGCCTCTGTTAGCCTCACAAATGCGAGCCCTTTTGAGCACATTTTTCATTACATTTTCACACATTTCACGCGGTATTTCATTAATTTCATCACGAATATTTTGTTTGAGTTGCTCCAACGTTTCTGGTTTGTTTGCATAAACCTTGCTTTTCAGATATTCCCACAAAAAGAAGTCCGGAGCAGTCAAATCAGGCGACTGTGGAGGCCAATCAACATCACCATTTCTTGAAATAACTTGTTGTGGAAAGAGGTCTCGCAGTAATTCCATTGTAATCCTGGCTGTATGCGATGTGGCACCGTCTTGTTGATACCACATGTTAATCAAGCCCAAAGCATGCAGTTGTGGCGTTTAAAAGGTTTTCAATCATATCACGATATTGCTCCCCATTGACAGTTACCGTTACGCCGTTTTCAGTTTTAAAGAAGTAAGGTTCCTCCTGACTAAATTGCACACCAGACTGTCACTTTTAATGGATGCAAAGGTGACTGATGAATAATTTACAAAAGTAATGTACAAAAGGAGTGCCTTATCACTGAAAACAGGCTCTTCACTCAAGTTGATGCAAGGTAACCTCAGAGGACACCTCGAAATTTTCAAGGACCCATGTCTAAATCACTTAATTGAAATTAAAACGGATAAACTAAAAAGAGGAGCTCTAGCCTGGTACACCGATGCTTCAAAGACAGTTGGATCCGAAGTAGGCATGGGCATTAGTGGACCAAATAGCCGCATTAAATTGGCGTTAAGCTCGGACATAACCATTTGTCAAGCAGAAGTTGTTGCTATAAACTTCTACACCGCTCTGAACCTACAAAACGGGCAGAAAGGTGCATCTATAAAAATTTTCACAGACAGTATGTGAAACTGACCAGCAACCTGAGAGAACTCGCCAGGGGCAATGATATTACTCTATGGTGGGTTCCAGGACACAGAAACATTGAGGGCAATGAGAAGGCTGACAAGCTGGCCAGAGAGGCAGCAAAAACGCCCTTCATTGGACCCCAACCCGGTTGTGGACTACAAAAAAAGTCACCTAAAACAAATAACCAACCGATGGGAGGCCTCAAATGTAGTCTTACGCTGGAAAGAACTTTCAGATCACAGAAAAGTGAAGAGTATGACGCAAAACAAAATCAAAGAGGTTTTATGCCTCAGCAAAGAGGATCTAAGGACGCTCCCAGGTTTTGTGACCGGCCATGCGCCCATAAAATACCACCTTTTCCACATTGGGCAAGCTGAGGATCAAACTTGTCGACTTTGCAACGACGAGTCAGAAACGGCTGAACATATACTGTGTAATTGCGTCGCTAGAGGTCGTCTAAGACACAAAATTTGCGGTAAAGCTCTTTTGACACCTACCGACATAAAGGAACAAGACTTTGGAGCAATACTAAAGTTCATTAAGGGCTTACATTTACCCTAAACTTTTGGAGGGTTAAAGTTACAATAGATCTTATAGGTCCCGGTGACAAGAGCAATAATAATTTTCTGTTCTGTCATTTAAGTCATTCAAACTATACAACTTTTTAACATTTAAGTTACTTTTGAATCACCCTGTAAATAAAAGAAAGTTCTTACTTCTATTGCTGTTCCTATTCCACTTGGAACTAAAACCAAGTAAGAAGTACCTTCATCTAAGAGGTATAAAAATATGATTGTTTGAGAAAAAGCACGCCATACAACCGTTCTTGTTGATAAACCAGCCATTGATTTATGTGATTTCCAAAAACTGACGTCATTTTTAAATGATAAAAAGTCGAGCAAAAGCTAAAAAAAAATTTAATATCATGAAGTATTAAAATTAATTTATATACTTACATGAATACTTCCAATACAAATTGTAGCACACAAAAGATATAAATTAGTATCAGCAAAAACTCCTTTAACCTCATCAATATCTTTATCGGTAAAGCCAAGTTTTTTAAAATTCTTTATTGTAACTTCCATCTCAACCATAAATTTAAATTTACCTATTGAAACTGGGTTATAAATATAATTAAACATTATTTGAGATGTTTCTTTAGTAATTTCTTCTAAATCTCTTAACCTTGTCTGCATAAAATCATTAACAACAATCGGAAGAAATTGTCTTTTCCTATTAATTTTTAAATAATGAATCACTTCTTGTGGAATATTTGTTTCTGGAATGTGTAATTCACTGTTACACATCATGATTGAGTATCTACTTTTGATATGAGTTGTTGGTTTAACAGATGATTGTTTAGATTCTTCTTTTAAAAGATTAAAGGTAAAACTTTTTGGTACAACATATTTCGTTAAACGACCTTTTAAGTAACTTGATTCATAAACGTTTCTAGCTTCGTTCAATGATAAATCTTCATTATTTACATTTGAGGGTAAAATTACCGAGTGAATTATTAAACTACCATTATTTCGAACTGTTTTTGATATCTCCAACTCAATTACTCTTAAATAAAATGATAATTAATGAAATTGCACAAATGTAATTTAGTTTAAGATGTGTTACCTTTCAAATGGTTCATCATAATTAAATTTATTAACTTTTAATATTAATTGTTCATCTCCTGATCGTGAATTATCAGTAACATAAACAAGTAGATCTAAAGAAGGTTTTGTGTTTAAATAGGAATGAAAACACACGTCTCCTTTTGCGCAAGAAGGGGGCGTAAATAGCACAACCAAATTCCATACTGAATTAAATATGAATATTATGAACACCCCGAAGAGTAACGAAGTTATCGAAAATTTAAACATTTCAGTCTTTCTTTATATCCATATAGTTTAAATTTTATATTGTACACGTCAACATATCATCATTTTTTATAGGTTAGTTTAATTGTCAAAATAAATACATTTGATTGTAGCGCCATCTAGCTTTCTTGACTTAAAATTAATTATTTCAAATGTAATTAAAAAGGAGTACTAAAAATCATAAAACATAAATTAAAAAATATTTAAATTTGTTTTGTAATGATAATTTCGCAATTAATTATTATGAGTTACACTTTTTTTTATTAATTATTAATTGTGTTATTGGCATTAAATTTAGCGCCATCTATCGTAATTTAATTCTTAAATTCAAATTTGAATTTGCTTCTAAACCAAGAAAATTAAAACGAATAGTTTTTGAAATAAACATGTATTTATTTAAAACAAAGCATTAAACATTAATAATTGAAAGAAAAGTATTAATTGTATTATTCCTCTTCTTCGGTGACTTCAACTTTAGAAGCACCAGTGATGTCTGAAAGTTCTTTTGACCAAAAAGTCGCTATAAGTTTTTGTTCTCCAGCTATTTTTGGTACAATTTCCGTTTCAGCGCTCACCAATTCTCCAGCTTCAACATCAGCAATGGAAAGAATATGATTTCTTAATAAAGTTGGCCCAGAAAGATTAAATTTGCAGTTTGTTAACGTTTTCTTCAATGGATTGATGAATTGAAGAAGAACTCGTGTTGGGGATTTACATGGAATTTCTGATGGAATCTAAAATATAATTAAACGATTAAAATAAAAAAGTGGAAATGCAAGGGACCACTTACTTTAATTGTTATGGTTGGTTTAACAACTTGAAAATCATCTTCATTAGCCCAAGTTTGACGAGTTTCAGTTACAGTTGCAACTGCGCACAATTTCATGTTGCAATATTCGACTAATTTGTCGATGTATTCATCACCAGCAATTCTTAATTCGAGTCTTTCAGCTAGAAAAAAAATATTAATATATCTTTTTAAAAAAATTAATTAATATGTTAGTAATTCTTACATGAGTGTGGTTTTAGCTTAAAGATTCCTTCAGCTTTTTTCACGAGATTCGCTTTTATACCAGTATAAAACACACTGGTGGATGATAAAACAGCTCGAACATTTCTTTCTTCATCGCATTTATTTTTCATGCGAACGATTACACTGAAATCTTCGCCAATTCGAATTCGATCAAGTTCAACCAAATCGAATTCAATGTCTTCTAAATTAGGATCTGGTAAAGCATAAAAACTACAAAAAAAAGAATAAATATAAATGAATCAGACATTTTTAAAACATATACAATCGAAAAGAATGATCAAGAAAGGGAAAATTTGAAGAAACTGGTAATGGCAAAAGTACAGGTAATATTCTGCTATTGATTTTGGTATGGGCAAAGTGCTTTGGACGTCCCATTGTACGTTTTCGTTTTGCTAGGATATGACATAAGTTTTCTGCTACTTTATCTCAAAATTTAGGAAGTTTTAACATTGCTTTACCATGAATTCTACAGTACAAAAAATACATTTATCGCACTTTTCCCATCGAGAAATTAGTTGATTAATTGAACTTTGTTTTGCAATGTCATCATACACTTTCTTCCTTCTGTTATTCTGAACAGTTTCAATTTCATAGCTTTATTATGGTTGTTTGAATGATTTCATATTGATATAATTGTTATTTCATCAGTGACACTCATTAGTTTATTAAAACAGAAGCTTGGAAGCTTTGATACGGAATAAATTTAGGTAACCGAACTGTTCATAAAGTTGCTAGGCTTGCGATGTTCCTAATTTTTAGGAATACATGCATTTCTGTCATTTATGGCGAAATCTGTACCTTGGCTATAAGATAGGTTCCTATGAAAGATTATTTCTTCTCCAACCCAACCCGTGACAGTAACAGAAGCAGATTTAACTTAGAAAAGTCTATCATACTTGGAAAATCAGTGAGGAAATATTGGAACCAATTAAAATGAAAGCAATTGAGGAGTAATCAAGAAGTATTGCATTTATGTTATTGCAAGTTTATAGCAAGGGAAAGGTGATGAAATCTATTGAGATTTATTGAATGCCCTTGGACAATTTTGGAAATATTGAGAAACATTGAGCCTTTGGAAGTAAATGAAAAAATCGTGATGATGTATTAAGAGCAAGCGAAAGTGCATAAAAATAATTAGTAGCAATGAAGAGCTATACGAGGTGTCTGGAGCCTTTCATTTTTAGAGTAATATTTTCAGGGTGGGTTGGTTGCCAGAATGATTTTTTTTCTGAACGAATTACGATACCCCATGTTTAATCCAATGCTCAATCCATGAAAAACTCCATGTCATTCGTGAGGATAAGTTGTCTAAGATGAGGGATTACATCTAAGAGGTATTGCAGCAATACCCAAAGCAATTAATTTGCGTGTGGATGTCCGCGAGATAATAATGCTCATCTTATGTGGGGTGTCATTATTTGCTGTACTAGTAGGAGAAACATGATAAAGGCACAGAATGAGGGTTGGCTGAACTTTCTGCTTGATACTAGTGGTGGAACGGATATCCCGCAACTATCCGTTATCCGGCCTATTAGTTCATTTTTGAAAATCCGACCGGATACCGGATAGTTACCAAATATCCACCATTCACAGGAATTAGTATCTCTTTTAGGCGTTGGACACTGCAGATAATAATCAAGTTCAAACCTAATAGGACTTTTCATTGAATACAACTTCATTTATATCAGGTAAAATCTCTTGTTGCAGTTTCGTCTAGTTTTCTTCTCTTCGCTTCTAATTCATCATCACATTCATTACTAACAGAACTGTCGCTGTTATCAGTTTCGATTATTAATTAAAGTATCCCCTTTTTAATGCAAAAAGCCGTTTTGAAAAATCACTTTCAGTTCTTGAGAAATAAATTTTGGAAATGATCGTCAATTTTTTCGAATTTTGCTATTTTTGCCGATTAAGTTTTAAAAATTCGTATAAAATCCAGTTTTTGGAATATGAGTATGAAAATTTCCCAAAGTGTTAATAAAAGTGTCCTCTTTCCAATGAACCAACCCGTTTTGAAAAATAACTTTTAGTTTTTGAGAAAACAATATTTGAAGTTTTGATAAAATTTTCGATGTTGCAATTTTCATCGATAACTTTCAAAATTCGCTATAAAATTAATTTCTTGAAGGATCCTTGTGGAAATATCACCAATTATTAATTAAAGTATCCTCTTTTTAATGCAAAAAGCCGTTTTGAAAAATCACTTTTAGTTCTTGAGAAATAAATTTTTGAAATAATCGACAATTTTTTCGAATTTTGCAATTTTCGCCGATTAAGTTTTAAAAATTCGTATAAAATCCATTTCTTGGAATATGAGTATGAAAATTTCCCAAAGTGTTAATAAAAGTGTCCTCTTTCCAATGAACCAATCCGTTTTTGAAAAATAACTTTTAGTTTTTGAGAAAACAATATTTGACGTTTTGATAAAATTTTCGATGTTGCAATTTTCATCGATAACTTTCAAAATTCGCTATAAAATTCATTTCTTGAAGGATCCTTGTAGAAATATCACCAATTAGTAATTAAAGTATCCTCTTTTTAATGCAAAAAGCCGTTTTGAAAAATCACTTTTAGATCTTAAGAAATAAATTTTTAAAATAATTGATAATTTTTTCGGTTAAAAAAGGGCACGACAACGTAAATTCAATCAAGGCAATATTACAACAGCCTTTTATGTCGTCATATTGACATAAGACAAAGTACCGTGGTTCTGATACTAGCATCTTGACCCATCAAATCAAATTGTCTTCCGTTTTCTTAACGAAACTGTTTTGCATTTTTCAACCTTCAGAACCGTCCAGTTACTTATGAATCAATTGAAACTATAATACTATAAACTATAATAAGGTGAAACTGTGAACTTTAAAAACTAATCAGCTATTTTTACAATATCTCAAGATCTAAAGAGTAGTTTTGAAAACGACCTGTACTATTCAAATACTTATAAAGTAATGCCTTGATATTCGCAAGGGTTAAGTTCTAAAAATACACCGCAAGTTGAATAAAATTAGAAACGACTTTTATAAGATATGAGTAAGCTTTGTATAGTAGGGTATTTTTAAACATCACCTTTTTGGTTAAAATTTCGCAAGGATTCCAGAAAGAATCGTTTATTACTGATTTTTTGAACTTACTTTTTTGCTAATCTTGTACTTCTTACTGCATTATACAACGATAATCTTTCAGCTTCAGTTCCTTCTTTTGGTTTGTACTGTTCGGTGATATCTTCACGATCTCTATCGCCATTTGGATCAAACAAAAATGGTTTTTTCGTTAAAATCAATCTCCCAATACTATAACAAAGAAAAATAGTCTTAAAAAACCAAAAAAAAAGAAATCAAATATATTTTTACTGATGTTTGTTGCAATAAATTTTTGAAAATCCCAATTCTTCTTTAGGATCTTCTTTCCATCTCATTAAATCTGCATTAACAGAAGCGACCATAAATCCAACATCGTAATTCATTCCAACAACTCCATATTTTATGGCTTCTAAAGATGCTGGACCGCACTCGTAGATTTGGGAATGAGATGATCTTTCTTGGGGTGTAGCATCGATTGCTTGCCAACCACCATATCCTTTTGGAAGATCTGGTCTTGCCATCCAAACATCGTTCCATACGTGGTAATTCCATATGGAATCTTCCCCGATTTCGTTCATTGGATCATATTCTAATTCCTCATCGATCATATTGAAATATTTATCGATTGTTAAAGACGCATTTGCGTCATGGGCTGATACTAAATTTGAAACAACTCTTGATGGTATCCCCAAAGCTCTACAAACTATTACAAAAATTTTATTAAGCTGTAGTATGATTAGAGCATAAAAAATTACTTGTGGTAACAACTCCTGAGAAAACCCAACATTGTCCGTAGCTTACGGATTGTTGAGTTTCCAAATATTGTTGGAGAATTTCAACCGATCCAGTCCAAGCTGATGGTGCAGTTCCATCGATGTAATCGCCGTCCCATCTTCCAACGAGAATTCCATTATCTTCGTCGTTATTGTTAACCATTTTTGAAATAATTCGACATAAGCTTATAGGATCACCACGACGATAATGCGGCATTTGACACATTTCTAGCATAAGCATAGCAGCTGGTAGAACGGTAGCGTCAAATTGTCCAAAAACCCATTCACGACCTCTGCAACTTCCTAATGGTCCAATCCAAATTTTTCCAACATCCATAAGAATGTATTCTTCTAATAAGCGTTCATCTGGCATGTAAACTAAGTCACCTTAAAATATATAAAATAAATAATTTGGCTTTACAAAAAAATTATTTAATTACTTTTATGCCATGGATTAAATAAAATATAAATCTGTCCCGGATGATTATAAACAGTTGGATCATCAACTGAGTTTTGAACACTGGTTACAACTTGTAATTCCCACAAACCAACCGCACAAGTATAAGGACTACAAACTTCTATGGTTATCGTATTTTCTTGTTGCCCAATAATTTTTCCATTAAAAGTATCATCTTTTAAATCATCAGATTTCAATTTTAAAGGTATTACTCCTTTAGTTCCTTTCATGATATTCTTTGCAGATCCTAATATTAAAAATTAAGTTAAATTGTTTAAAAAATAATTAATTATTTTACCATAATAATTAAAATGAAGTTTAACGACATCTGAGCTTTCATCATATTCGCGATTTGAAAATCTGATAATCATAATGAAAGTGTATCCTCTTCTAAACACAGGAGTTGGATCTTGTTCATTTACAACTTCGTATTTATCGGTTTTATGTCTTCTTGCATTCTCCAAGGGATAAAGATAAACTAATTCTACCTCGAGATTATCCGTCATTTTTAAATGATTTTTTTATTTATCCTAAATAAGTTAATGTAACTTAATTTTTATTCATTTCTGTAATTATTAATTAATAAATTGATCTTACCAAAAACAATAATATTTTTCTCTTTAACTATACACCACACAAGAAACGAAATACAAATGAGCCAAAATTCTATTTATCTCATCACTTTTAACCCTTTTCTTATCACGCTTAAACCACAAATGGAGTAATTACCAAATTCCGGTTGATAATATTTAGTAAACGACGCGAAAGGAAACCGCAGGCGCTTTATTTTGAATCAATTAATAAGAAATTAAGTTTTCTTTATCAGCCTTATATTGTGAACCAGATTTGTAATTTGAAACGCGCGTTCGTTTTTGCGGTTTAAATGCAACTGCGGGAGGATGTAAAAAGAAAGAAAAATAGATTATGATGCTGATTTATTTAAACATTCAGAGGTATTCATCGTAACGTCCAATTTGTCATCGATGCCGGATAGTGAATAATACGGCAGTGGGCCAACTTTAAAAGAATAGCCAGTGGTGTTAAATAATAGAGAAAAATGTTTCGCAACGAATGATTCATTCATTCACGTAGTTAATGTTTGAAAAGTAAAGATCATTTTATTCTTATATACATATATCTTATACCAAAATATTTATTCAAGAAGTTGTGTTAATATAAATTTTGAATAAATCTTGAACTCTTAATGGTCCAACCTTTAAATTCACTTGTTCAAGACTCAGAGCTCCAACTATCAATCATATAACACCAAAAATATTAAATTAATTAAATAAAATAAAATGGGCTATGGTATTTAAACAAGAAGCTATTAATAAACCAAATCATTTAAAAAATAACGCTTAGCATATCTAATTGTGTAAACGTAATTAAAAAATTACCATTAAATCATCGAATTGATCTTTAAAATTAGATGCATATGTTCAATAATTATCGTCTACATGGATATCGCGAGCATATGATTAAAAATATCAAAAAAAGAAAGTTATTTTTATTAAAAAGAAGAATTAAGGGAATAATTCATTTTACATTACACGACTATGTCAATATTTACACATAGCTGATTCTAATTATTTTCTACTACTGTTATGAAATCATCCAACTCGATATCTAATTTATGTAGTATTATGTGTAATTTTAGAACATGCATCATGTTTTTATTATCTATTCACATCAGTATTCTAAACCTCTTTTTAGTAATCCGATGCATTTTCCACTATCTTATGGCTCTGAAATCAATTACAAATGTAAAATGTTGCTGTTGTGGCTGTATTTTATTTTGGATTTGCACAAATAGCAACTGCATTTTATTTTAGAGAATTAGGGTAGAGAAACCAGTTATGGCCACATTTAGTACTCTTCAACTTTTAAAATTCAGTATCTTATTGTTAGTTAAGAATTGGAATACATGCGAGAAAAATATCAAAATAGTGTTTCTTAGCTTTTGTTGCATATAGGCACCTTCCAATTTATTTGCGTATCAAGTATTTTAAAACACAAAAAATAAAATTCAACAGCAAATCAATTTCTCCATTTATGGCCATAAAAGTTTCCACTTATGGCCACCATAATCTGTTTGCGTAGAAATCAACCGCAATAAAGTACAATTTTTAAATTTTATTAGGCGCATAGATACAACAAGAGTTAAGGAGATGAATACATTTATTGTTTTTCAAATACGTCTACAGCACTGCGGAAAACAATCGTCATCTTTCGACTAACATTTTTCAGTTTGGGTTCTGGAAGCGTTCCAAGGATTTCTTCGTTGTTAATGGCACATTTGCCATTGTCTAACACTTTGAAATGTGTCTTATAATTAGTCTGATCTAAGCTTTTTAGACATTGTACTTCAAACTCATCTTCACCCAACCCGCACAAAAAGTTTACAACACACTCCTACAGGGTTGTAACTCCATACTATAGACTTACTCCTCTAGACTACGCGTGGCGAGTGCAAGCTGTTGCACTGTGCACTGTTGCACCTGTGCAATTTGCAAGCTGCAAATTGATTACATTATCATAAACATTTTCAATGGTTGTTATGTCATATATTTGTTTTCTTTCTTCATGTAAGTTACACTCTACAATGATGTGTTCCACGGTTAACTCTGTATTGCAGTTTGTACATATAGGTTTCTACTCTCGTTTTAACATATATCTTGATGTCAACGATGTATGTCCAATGCGCAATCTACTTAACTTTACCTGTTCAGATTTATTTAGTTTGTTGTTCTGATATTCTGGATGTATGTGACGTTTTATTTTTCTTAAAAAATTTTGGGTATTCTGCCATTGTTCTTCCCATTTTTCATAGATTAAGGATTTGATATGTTTTAATCTAAAGCTTTAAGATTGTGATTGCAAAAATCAATATCTGTTGTTGTTGCCTCCGCAGCCTTGCATGCTGCATTATTGGCACGTTCATTGCTTCTAATTCCAATATAACTGGGTTCCCATATAAATGCATTACATTTTTGTTCCAAGATATTATGCAATGTTGACAAGTTTAGCTGTACCATTGGTTCTTTTGTAAATTCTGTAACGATTTGATACTACTGAGTGAATCATGAATTATTAAAAATCTGCGGGTAGTATCAGGGAAAATGGATGAGTCTATTGAAGAGTAAACGAAAAGAACTAGAGAAGGAGGATTAATCGGGATAATAGTATACCAAGTTGTTCTTCTTTGAACTGTAATTCAAGTCTCTCGACGCCTTCATCATGTTTATTTCTCTTAATACATTGCAACTCTGACGTAACTGACGGTAATTATTAAATTTTTAAACTTTTGACTATAATTTTAACACCTAATTTAATTACCTTAGTTGTACCTGATGACGCTTATATAAGATAAGCGAAACACGTGTTGTACAGATTGAAATAAAATAAATATCATTGTGGAACAAAATATTGGATTTATTCATTTCTTAACTCCATAGACCTGTTTAGCGCTCGAGAATTTCATTTTCAATATGATTAATTTTTCTTTTTTATATAATGTATTTACTGTAGATTGACAAGTGTAAGTTTCTTATTAGCACTATAAAGAATAATAATAATAATAATGATAGTACTCTACCCATATTTCATGGTTCATGTCTTCCACAGACTCGAAATATTTTTGGATAGCCAACCCAAANAAAAACAAAGTTGATCTATTTTCCGGAAAAACTAAAAGTGATGGCAAAATTTTCCATAAGAAAATATTTGTGCTGATAAAATATAGAAACTGACGTTTTTTTGTTCATAGTGATATCTAAATCTGTTCGGAAGTTAAACAGGGGGGGGGTTACTTTACGCTAGCACTGTATAGTAATGCTTGAAACATAGCATACAATTCTGCAAAGTATATTGAGGAGCATAGTTGAAGCATCCAAGAGTGTTCTGCTTCGTTTATTGTTATAGCACTACCAACAACAATACCGCTATCTTTTTTTGATCCATCAGTATAAATGTAAAGAGCGTCAGCGTAAGTATGTATGATGTTGTAAAAATCAGAGAGGAATATCTCTTTAGAAGTGTCCGTCTTGGAAACTTTAGTAAGATCCATTCTTAATTTAATGGGTTCATCCAGCTATGGAGGAGTTTCAGGAAAATGGCGGGTAAGAATACGGGGTAATGTCATACTTAAGGATCGTATTAGTTCCTGAGCACGGATGATAGCTGACCTGGTGGCCAAGTGATTGTTGCTTGATGATCGTATAAATCGGATTTTTGGTTCAGCTAAAAGCCAGTTAAAGGAGGTAAGCCAGACTCGCTGTAAAGACTATTGATTGGGTGATGTATGACATTTAATTTATTGAGTACTTCCATACTCGGTCTACGACCTCGTCGTGCAATTCTCCACACTCGTACAGTAATTATGTTTCTAGCCCACTTGTAATATAAATAACTATTACTTCGCGTCCTTATTATACCACTTTTTATCTGTCTTTATACAACGAAACTAATGTCTGTTCGCGTTTTATTAGCTAGCTATAATAAACTAGCTACAGCTTCTTGACATGAACATTTTTCATTAACTATCTTCTCTTAAAATCACTTGTACTTAATGGTATCATATATATATATATATATATATATATATGTATGTGTGTGTGTTTTTTTGCTTCATTTATGTTAATGTTTAGAATTACTTTTTCAATTAAATCGATTCGATACAGTTTTAGTTCATAACTTTAAGCTGTCTGGTTTCTTCCATATCTTGTAGTATGTTCATAAACTTCCTGTTTTATTTAACAAGTGTTTTGCTTAAACATTAAAGGGCTTTTTTCAATTTACGTAATACTAATAAAAATCAATATATTGACTTGATCCTAGTTCAGAGGAAAACTGTGTGATTAATATTTATATATTTATTTATACGTTCGAAAAATTGACAAGTGGGCTTTATTTCTCCAAAAAAAATTCAGCAGTGGCATTAATGTTGAGGCTTTTCAACTGTGGAACTTGTATGATCTTGTATGCTTTTATTGCGCAGTCTATACTCACCATTCCGTCTCTGTACATACTCCGCTGCGTGGGGTACATCTTGGAAAACATGAACTCCTTAAAGATGCACGGTGATGTTCACCTATATGAAACGCGTGGGAGAGAAAACCTCTACTCAGACTTTGTACGGTTATGCAAGACAGAATCTGGTCCTATATACATGGGACAAAATTTGTATAATCACCTGCCACATAGTGTGAGAGCTCTCCCAGCGAACGAGTTACTTGAGGAGTTAACAAAATTCTTGCTAAAGAAGGGATTCTATTCTATACAGGAATTCCTTGGGACCTCCATAGACCTGTTTAGCGCTTGAGAATTTCATTTTCAATATGATTAATTTTTCTTTTTGTATTTTTCATTTCTTCTGTTTTATATAATGTATTTACTATAGATTGACGAGTGTAAAGAGTGTAAGTTTCTTATTAGCACAATAAAGAATAATAATAATAATAATGATAGTACTCTACCCAAATTTCATGGTTCATGTCTTCCACAGACTCGAAATGTTTTTGGATAGCCAACCCAAAGTATTACATTATCATTTAAATGATGAATTGATACAATGAATTCATTGTACATTCTTGCTAAAAGATGCTAAAAATAAAGCAGAATGGACTAAAACTCGAAGATTCAAAGATTCAAGTAAAGATAAATAAGAAATACAAAATTTGCCAAGAACAAGAGGTTACTTATTTGCTTTCATAATAGTCGGCCTACGGGTTGTCGAGCGGAAGGCGACTAACAAGTAAGTTGTAAGTCTTGACCACTCAATAGTAGCAGTCGTCGACGATCGTGTAAGAAAAGCTGCTTCTTCCAATCCAGTGGTTGTCATAATCATGATTTTAAACTTTTTTACACACTTTACCACATAAACAGGAATACCGTCAAATACAAGTAGTAACTCAGGTTGCAAAATATTTTCTTTCAATGCCACCAACAACCAATGGAGTCAGATCAAGGACACTGATGCTGAAATTCGTATTATCAATGTAGGTTTTTACACTCCAACAATGTATGCTCTGATGATTAATCTCGGTAAAGTATTTTTGTTTAGATTGGATTCAGCATTATGTAATATTTTTGTGAAAATTTACATTCAGGGTTTATTTGAGGAGCTCGTTTCAGCTAAAATATTTTCAGTTTTCTGCAACTTCCAGTTATACCGGAAATGGGCCTCTACTTCGTTATTTTAAATGGAATATTCTAAATTTCATTGAATTTTCGAGATCTCTGCTAAATTTTAATATAATTTGATATAAGTAAGTAAGAATAATATATAAGAAGTAATCATAATAATATTTCTAGATTACACCATTTTTGAGTTATTTCAGTTTTTCACAAAAAAATAATTTTTCGAAATTACATTCGAGTCAAGCCAAATATTCTCAGGGATTGCCAAATGGGTCCTATTTGTGCAATCTATTTCTATCGACCTGTTTGTTATTTGATAGCTTACATAATCCTTGAAAACTTTTTTAAAAATTATACAAGTGGTCAGAAATTTGCACCAAATTCAATGTCTATTTCCGGTGTAACCGGAAGTTGCAGAAAACTGAAAATATTTTAGCTGAAACAACCTCCTCGGATAAATCCTGTATGCAAATTTTCGCAAAAATAGTACCAGTAGTTTGGCATAGACTTAGCTCGTCGTGACAGATCCTGTACAACTGCGCTTTTTTAAACTCAATACTTGGTAAGATACAAAAGAAAGCTCATCAATTTTACATTAAAATCTGTCATGAATCAAACTTAAATAAAACTCAACTGCTTTTAATCAGGATCAAGAATCAACAGTAACAGTAAGGGCTAAGCAACTGTATAGTAATTTGTCTCAGATTAAATGAAACTGATATATTGTAATAGAAATGGTATACAAAACTGTACTATTTTGTTAGTTAATCCATTATTTTAAGACTATTTTTACCTCTATTATTACATTCTAAAGTATGTCATAGAAGAGTATATCTCGATAAGGATGTTGATAAAAAAATACAAGAATAACTCCCTATGATCTCCTTTAGTATTTTTTAACCTCGCATCCTTCATTTTTGACAACCTTGACTTGCCTCGAATACAACCGACAACGAGTGCGTTCAAAACACGTCAATATATGGGGCAATTCCTTGTAGATCATGGAGTTTTGATCCCCAAAATTTCTATTTCGCTTTAAGATTAGGTTTTGCAATTTTCATTTAGTATGCTATTAACATTAAAAAATTTACAATACTTACTTGAAATTTCTCATTGTTAAAATCACAATAATGTTAAATAAGATATTGAATAATAAGATTAAATATTTTCAACATTTTTTTTTATTGATTTTCATTTACTCATACAAATTCAATCAATAACATTTACTTATGTTGTTTTAGTAGCTTTTTTATACATAACATACGTATACAAAATAAATACATGATTCAGGCCAAAAAGTAGTACGTTTTGTAAGCCTCGCGTGATTGAAAAATATTTATATATCTATTAAACTGTCACGAAGTGCGCTTTGTTTTTATTGTCGCTACCAAAAGCTGCAGAGAGCGCTCAATTCATGCAACATTAATTATAATTTACGGTTCGGAATGCACGATTTGTCTCCTCTCAGTTAAGAGACGAGGATTTCGTAGTCATTGAATCCCATTTCTTGTCCACCAAAAGGTATGTAACAAACTCCATGGCTGCCGTGAACTTTACCAACGGTCATAGAACCGTCATTAACGACTCTTCCAACGTACAATGGTTCCCCGTCTTCACTTTGTCCAGCGGGAAGTGCGTTCGGTGGAATGTTGCTACCAGAGCAAGTTATCCAGCTGCCATTAAAATCGGTTAAAACTTCGTAGCTATTGCAAGGATTTTCAGTGCCTCCCCACGGTACATAAGCAACGCCGTGGGAGCTGAGAAGTTTTCCAGGAATTAATCCACCTTCAAATTGGGATCTGATAACAAACATTGGTTCCCCATTTTCTTCTCCACCAGCAAAAGCATTTGCTGGAACGTGTCCGCCAGAAGCTTGAACCCAACAAGCGGTACCACAAGCACCCATTGAAGGAGCACTAGGAGAAGCTTGTTCAACAATCCAATTTCCACTTGCTCCCCATCCAGTACATACACCAACATAATTAATTGGAACCATTTCGCTATCACTCCAATTAAGGAATGGAGCATCAGATCCTTCTTGTCCGACGGTTATGGTTCCGTTAGACCAACGGATCCAAAATCCACGGAATTCATTGCCGTTTAAAATTCCAGGAGTTGACGCTTCGGCAACGTCGGGTTTGGCGCGATTTTTGCGGATTACTGATTTTGAATTTTCCCATCCTCCGATGAACACTTCGTACATTGGATCACATTCCGCCGCTTGACCACAGAGTGCAATGTGGGCATCATGAGGGGCACGAACTCGGAATTGCAAGAAACCACCGCTGTTGGGAAGGAAGTTGTATTCCAATTTATCTTCAGTACTGAGTTCTAGAAAATATTTAATAAATAAAGTAAATAAAATAATATTAATTTTTGGAAAGATAAAATGTGGTGAAACTTTATTTTGAGATTTATGCTGTTGGCATTGCATTGTTTTGTAGGTTTGTACAAAAAAATTTTCTTTTTAATGTGGAAACGGAAATAATTAAGGAAGTTAAGGTTTTTGATTCTAAATGAATAGGGGAAAGTAGGACGAAAATTAGGAAATTTTAGAAAGTACTGAGAAAAATGAACAAGTTGTGACAATATGAATTCTTTCACTTATTTGAGGTTGGTTCTTAGAAACTAATTTCACAGTTCTTTGTTGCTAAGTGTCGCTATAATCCACTGATTCTGGAAAGAAGAATCAATCTAAAAATAAATTTAGAACTTCTTAATCCCACACAACAACAAATTTATCATATTTTTAGTTCAGAGGTCATAGTTCGTTTAAGTGATTTAACTCAATTAACATATCATTTTTAGCAGTAAAAAAAGCTATGACTAATACTAATATTTTATTACTGGTATCACGCAACTTATCGCAAACCACAGTTTTAATGTTAACTGATAGGTATAAAAAGAGGTGACGTCAACGTTAGATATTTCCTAGCAATTTTCGCCTTGACCTGAATAAGTGCCTTAACATTTGTATTTGTAATTATTCCCACCTTTTCGGTCGATCAACAACAACGTGAAAATCATAAAAATTAATTATCGCGTTAAAAAGCATTTTGTTTATTAAGTCAAAGACGTGCAAAATACACGATTTATTGCGTAATAACAAAATACGGTTTTAGCCTTGAATTTAGATTACCTCCTTCAAGCCTCCTGTATTAGCAGTGATAGAGGTCAATTAATGTTAATGTTTATTTTTTGATTTACACAAATTTTGGAATCTAAGAAAAACGGATTAAAAAGAACTGGCTGTGATAGAGCGGAAAGAATTTGGGCTAAAATTACGGTATTGGAGAAAGTAGGACAACCTAAATCTACTTCATCGATTTTAAGTTTGCGGTTATTGAAAGGATCTGAGGAAAAGAATTTGAGGGGATTAGATGGAATAAATTATAGAATGAAATGTTGTTTGTGGAATGTTAAAAAAAGGATGCCTTTGAAAAAGGTTGAGGAATAAAAAATGAACAAAAAAAATCTGCGCCAAAACGAATCATCTAACTGCAACATGCCGATGATACAATAGCTAAAAATAGTTTCTGGTAATTATTTCAAACGTTACAGGGCGTGACTAAAATATGGAATATTATATTATTTTGAATTTATTTCTTAAAAGATGATACAAAAATTTGAATGGTAATCCCAAAAATTACCCAAAATCTATTTTTATTATTCAAAAACCGAGAAAAATTATCCATACCAAAAAAAGTGGCACAAATTCTAAAATTAAATCTTAAAATTATATAAACTCACCAATAGGTCTAGCCATTGTGTTGAATTTTCTTCGACGTTATCAAAAGGATGTACAAAATTCACTATTAGTTGAGCGTTCAACTTTAATGAAAATACTGACGATATGCCGGCTTTACTGTCTGTTACTATAAATACACTACGTGTCTTTTAACGTGTGCGCAGTGCCGGTCGCAACTTTCTGTTCGTTTTCTTCGAGAGAAAAGGAATGAGATAGAAAGAGGACAAGAAGTGATTTTAGTACGATTTTTTATACAACGTAGTTGTATTTCGTAAAATCGTCGTAAATAAATTTGTAAAAACTACCATTTTTGCTTAGTGTAAAAAAGACAGGTATATTGTGGTCGTATTGGATTACTCATCATCATCGTCATTAGAATACCGTGACGGGCCAAGGACTTTGAATCAGGCCCGTAACAACAATGAACTTATTAACTTTAAACAGATTACATGAGATTTAATTAACGAAAACGATATCTTCCTGTTTAAACCTTATCAGTGCTTGATTATTCGAAATTAGGCGTTGCAGCTAATCTTGTTCCTGTATGCTTTTTTAACGGAATATACTGATAATAAATAATATTAAAAAAGTAGTGAGTTCTAGAAGGAATTAATTACGTAGTGAATTCATTTATAAATGATGATGTAGTAAATATTTTCTTTGCTACGTCATAAGTTGTTTATTTATAGACGTAATAGTTATTGTTGATGATGATTCATTTATAATTTTTTTGAATGATAATAGTAAATATCCTTGATTTAGAAAATGCGATGAATCATATTTGTTCCCTATCATCTTGTAAGTGTTATTTCAAAGTTAATTGAAATAACACTTTCAAAAATGGTTGATGGTTATATATTCTATCCGCATTCATTGGTCATATTTAAGTGCAAAGCGGAAGGAATACTAAAATTGAAATTTTCATCGGAATGCAAATAAGATTTGTAAAGAAATGAGTATTATTTCTAATTATTGTAGTGTTGTACATACAAATTAGACTTTTTGCATTAAATTGGTATAATTTAGAAAATCATAACTCAACATCTTTCTGCCTTTACAGTTCTCGGAGATATAGAACTCGAAATTATAAACTAGTGATGGAACGGATAGTGATTTTGCGAAAAGCCAGATATCCAGCATATCTATCCGGCCATTATGGTTATAACTTCTGGTGCATTTCTGAAGTGATACCCTACATTGCCACATTACTGCGATATTTGAATAAAAAGGAAATTAATAAGAAAGCTCATAAGATATGTCAACTTATTTGGATCTAATATACAAAATGAATTTTCCACAAGGATCCTTCAGGAAATGAATTTTATAACGAATTTTGAAAGTTATCAAAACTTCAAATATTGTTTTCTCAAAAACTGAAAACTGAACTTGAAAATTATCGATGATAATTGCAACATCGAAAACTTCATCAAAATATCAAATATTGTTTTCTCAAAAACCAAAGTTATTTTTCAAAACGGGTTGATTCATTGGAAACAGGACACTTTTATTAACATTTGGGGAAATTTTCATACTCATATTCCAAGAAATGGATTTTATACGAATTTTTAAAACTTGATAGGCGAAAATTGCAAAATTCGAAAAAATTTTCGATCTTTTCAAAAAGTTATTTCTCAAAAACGGAAAGTGATTTTTCAAAACGGTTTGTTGCATTAAAAAGAGGATACTTTAATTAATAATTGGTGATATTTCCACAAGGATCCTTCAACAAATGAATTTTATATCGAATTTTTAAAGTTATCGATGAAAATTGCAACATCGAAAATTTTATCAAAACTTCAAATATTGTTTTCTCAAAAACTAAAAGTTATTTTTCAAAACGTGTTGGTTCATTGGAAAGAGGACACTTTTATTAACACTTTGGGAAATTTTCATACTCATATTCCAAGAAATGGATTTTATACGAATTTTTAAAATTAAAATGGCGAAAATTGCAAAATTCGAAAAAATTGTCGATCATTTCAAAAATTTATTTCTCAAGAACTGAAAGTGATTTTTCAAAACGGCTTTTTGCATTAAAAAGAGGATACTTTAATTAATAATAGAAAGTGATAACAGCGACAATTTTGTTAATAATGAATGTGATGATAAATTATAAGCGAAGAGAAGAAAACTAGATATCGTATTGGGATTGTTACAATGAGGTTGCAAGACAAACCTGATATAAATAAAGTTGTATTCAATGAAAAAAGTCCTATTGGGGTTGAACTTGATTATTATCTGCAGTGTCCAACACCTAAAAGAAATACTAATTCCTGTGAATGATGGAGTACTAAGTAATAGGTTTTTAACTATCCGGTATCCGACCGGAATTTAAGAAATTGCCGGATAGGCCGGTGTTAATTTACATAGCAGTGATCACTGCTCGAGAAACAGCAAATCAAGAGGGACATAGCGTAGTTTATACTATTAACGTAGCTACTATGCGTCAAAAGTTGTACTTGTTTTCCAAAGGTACTAAAACGTTAAAAAATAACGAAAATAATTTTTTTTGGAAAATTATAAGCGATCATGAAAATTTTTTCAAGTAAAAGTTATGTGAAATTATGTTGTCTACCCAAATGAAGAAAAAAAAGTTATAGATTTAAAAAAATAGCGAAGTTAGTACTCACATCCGGTATAACCGTAAGTACAAAGACAACGATTTTATGTCGTAATAATCCGTTTTAACAGCCTAATTATGCATTCCAAATGGTTTTCTTATATCACTAATAATAAAAAAAAAAATATGGGGTGAGCCACTTCTGAGGGACACCTATATTTTTGTGCATATATTTTAAAAAACATTCTTGTATTATCAAGCAAAAGTGCGCCCACTTTGTTGCAAAAGTGTTTTAAATAATCTTTAATCTTATTTCCGTAATGATCCGATTTCTGGTCCTCCATTATCGTGGGATAATCTCTGCAGAAATATGAGCATGGAGTAATATGAGCTCAATTATTAGCTTCATAAGGTTTTAAGTGGAAACGCATCATCTCCAGCAAGAAACAGTCTATTAAGCACCAATTGAGTTAGATCCATTATAACCAATATTGATTTAACTGAAGCAATGAAATCAATATGCACAACGCTGTTTTATCCCTTATAATTAAGACAATCACTCTCCCCATGAGGGGGAGCCTTTATTAAAACATGCTTTTATTTTGGTTTAGGAAATACACAATTTTCAAAACTCGGACACCGAAGAGGAGGCAAAATTTATTGAGGATGACATAATAGCTACATTAAATTCAGTTTAAGAAATTGCTTACTCAAATTAACAACAAGAATTGGGGACTAGGGTTGCACTTATAAACAAAATAAAATTCACGGAATTCTGTTGAAACATAGATGAATGTTGGATCCAAGGACAATAATTTCACAAACTGATAAATTCTTAAACCCGATGTTATACATATCAACGCGGTTCACCAGATGCGGCTAATTCGCATCAGTCTGCATCTTTAATAAAACTACCTCAAAAATGTTTGATAACACAATTATCAATAAGTTTCGCTCAATTTCAATACCAGGCGTTTCCTATCAAGAACCAAACCCGATACTTCATGCACGCAGGTCAGCAGACAACAAACATAAGGTATTTACATGGTTAATGACAGAATTACAGCAAATGAGTTTGATAAAAAATCTACCAAACATTGACAAAAATAATTCTGCTTATCTAACATAAACTCCCCTTCAATAATTATTTTAGTCCCCTTTAGTTTGTTGCAAGACATTTTCCTTATTTTATAATTCTTGAATGCACCAAAACAATGACATTGATTAATTTACAGATGATAATAATGTGAATAGTAAAGTGTAAACTGCAGATAAATGGTTTACAAATTCAGCAAGATATAAAAATGTGATATAAGATTAATTAATGTATTAAAACAACATTATTTCATGATCTTGATTATGGAGTAGAAAAATATCAAGCCAAGCTGAATGTAAAAACAAAAAAATTATATATAACATTTATTAATTATAAAATGTATCTATAATATAATTCAAAGATACTTACCACACGTCAAGAATTAAATAGGCCAGCTTATTGGTGGTTTACTGACTGAGTTCTAAGTATAACGTTATATTACATATTTATAATTAGGATACTACAATTAATATCAATAATCAAACATTTATTAACCAGCTATAAGCTGGTTAAGAGGCTTTTAACTAAGGCATGTTTCAACATACATTGTATTATTGTAGTTATTAATAATAAGTAATTGTGGGGTAACACATTTTTAAGAAAAATTCTAATATAACTAGATTTACTTACACAAGAAAATAAGATCAACCAGAAATTAAATGAAGAATCTAATGTATTTGTATTTTTCTCTGCAGTTTCAATTTCATTTTACATTGAAGGTTAAGAGTAAATATTTAAATTATAAACAACAAAACATTATATATTACACAATAATGGAGTATTAAAAATATAGATCACCTTAGGGGCTTTAAAAGCTGTCTTAAAACACAAAATTTATAATTTTCAGGAAGGTTAGCCGTTGTTATGACACAACTTTTTTGTTACTACTTATTTTAGTAATAATTAACAGAGAAATATAAAAAAACTTTCTTTTCTTATAAATAAAATTATCGCAAAGTTAAGGCATTATCACTTAAGCTAGTTTCTCCATTAGTTAGAGGACTTCCAGTTGAATTGTTCATTGCTGAGGATTGCATTTTGTTTCGTAAATCAAAGACTTTTTGAATTGCTCCACGGAAACATAAGAAATTATAATCAATTGTACCTAAAAACAATATTTTTTTTAACATTGTTGTGGAGTTAAAAAAAATATTTTTACCTTTATGATCAAAATTATCATCTCTTAAAATACAAACCAACGCCAAAAATTTATTAACCTCTCTCAAATACAAAACGGTCCCATTATTCAGTTTAATCAGACTAGAGCTTTGTTCATCAAAAGCTGCCGGCTCTTGATCATCTCTTATTCCATAGATCCAAGAAACATCAATTACCACATCAATCATATCACAACATAACTCGTAACTTTGCATATCTACAGGTGTTGAATCTGTTGCTATATAAATTTTAGATACTACATCGAAAAGAAATGATTTTTCTATTGCTGAATTCTAAAAAAATTAAAATATTAATACAGTAAATCATCGATATAACGGATTAATACGGAGAAGGGAGTGTTCGTTATAGCCAAAAGTCAAAATTTTAATGCACACAAATTCGGACAGCTAGCGTTGCGTTCAGTCTATATGGCTTTTTTTGCAGTCTATTTAAACCAAGGACGGTAGAATCTAAGAGGACTGCTACATCCCGGAAACAGGTGCACAAAACGAAGGCCTGTTCGAGACGTCAGTGCTGAATAACAAATAAAACTAGAGCTAACACTAGATCTAGAACTAGAAAGTTTCGGTTTTAGTCTTCAGACTTAGAAACCGACGCAGATGTGCTGCCAAGGCAATGGTTCTAGTACTTAAAATAAAGTAAAGTTTTCTTTACCCTTAAGTACTATCGTGGGGTATATAAAATATCTTGTTATTACTAATTGTACCGTTGTATATCAAATCTCTCTTTGTAGTGATCCATTACTTCCTGAGGACAGTGCGCACTCCAATCTCGAGTTTTCTTGCTCAACTCATTTTACTCGTTCATTACCTATACATCATGGTGATGCTTCTTGTTTTAAAGAAGCTTGGTTTCTTGAATTAAATGAGTACTGTAACGAAATTGACTGGGGATCAGAGCTCGCTGGTCGTGATATCAACGACGCTGTTCAAATTTTTTATAACTATGTTAATACTGCTATACGTGAATTTGTCCCTTTAAAACGCAAAGCTATCAACGGTTTTTTTACTTGGATTTCATATAATACCATTAAAGTAATTCGAGAGAAATGGAGGGCGCACTGTAAATAGAAACGTTTTGGCAACCGATTTGACTACCTCACTTTTTCAATTCTAAGGAGTCGTGCAAAGTATCTAATCCATCATAATTACATGGAGTATGTTAAAAGAGCTGAAAGCAATATCCAATCTGACCCAAAGGTGTTTTTGGCTTTTGCTAATTGTAAGTCTAAGAAACGTGCGGATATCATGGAATGGAACTGTTATCGCCGTTGACGATGACGGAGTATGCTCATTGTTAACTGATTTCTTTTCTTCGGTTTTTGTTGATCCTGCTTCAATCCAGCAGAATGTAGATTGTATGAAAATGGATGCCCTTCCTTTGAATCAGATGCAGTTTGACAGAATTGAGGTTGAGGAGGCCCTGATGGGCATCAGGGTAATAATAATATGATAAATATAATACAATAATATAATAAATTGATGGTATTCCATTAATTTTAATCAAGGAATATTCATATTCTCTGTCCCTTCCTTTAACTATTTTATTTAATGCTTCATTAATAATGGGTGTTTTTCCTTCATTGTGGAAGCGGGCTTTTATTCTGATTACCGCCCCATATCTATTTTGCCAGCATTTGGGAAAGTGTTTGAGAAAGTAGTTCATGCACGTCTATTCTTTGCCCTTAAGTCTAAAATCAATTGTAGACAACATGGTTTTTTTGCTGGTCGCTTGGTTGAGAGTAACTTGTTTGAATATACCCAGTGGATGATTCTTGTCAACATTGATACTGTTGTCTCCAAAGCTTGGTGTATGTTAGGATTTATTATGAGATCCACGGTAGCTTTTTCTAACATTGATGCAATTAGAAATCTCTATTTTGTGATTTGATGTCTACAGCATACTTAACTTTTACAGCGTCCTTTAGTTGACCTTTAAATGACTCATGAGCTCTTAAAGTTGAACTTTAGAGTTCATGACCAAACCGGTTCAAATGGACGTCTCAAAACCGTGCTTTTTCCAGTGGCGTAGAAATTGGGGGAAAAAACAACAACTACCCTTTCAAAATCTTCACCAATTATGACTTATTATGAGTAGAAAATGCTTACAAAAGCTGTTTTCTGTACGATAAACGGTTCCGGAGATATTCGCAAAAAATCAATTTTTTTTATTAAATTTCAACATCTGTATCTCGAAAATGGTGCATTTTAGAGGGTAAGTAGATAGAAACTTTTTTTCAAATTTTTGGACAAGCTATCACATCCTGAAGTCCTGCGCATATATTATGAAACATCCTATATTTATATCAACTAGACTTAGTTTTAGTTTTTTCCTTTCGATTCACTTTTGTACCATTAATATTAATTCATTATTATTATTGTTAACTGTAATTTTATTTGTGTACAACTGGATGTTTGTGGTACAGTGTTATTGGGTTCGACCTGTTTCTGTACCCACATGACATAAATAAATAAATAAATTAGAACTAATACTAGACCTAGAACCAGAAACATAGGGGTTTAGCCATTTTAAGAGACATATGGCTAAACTCGAATGTTTCTAGTTCTAGGTCTAGTGTTAGTTCCACTTTTAGTTCAATAAAAAATATACGACAATCTAGCGCTAAATAACAATTAAAACTAGAACTACCGTCCTTGATTTATATATCATATAGACAAATTGGGGAATATCCTGAGTTTATCTGCAAACATGGAATAGAACAACATAGGGAATAACCTGAGTTGGATTTTATCTATGAGTGTTAACATTTATACTTATTTAAACATACTGATGGTGTATTAAATAGATAATATTAATAAGATGACTTAAAAATATTTTGTCCATTATATTCCAAGTCAGTTTTAACGAGGTTTTACTGTAATAAAAATTAAATATTTAAGTATCTTACTGTATTTAATATATTTAATAAATTTTCCAACGCCGGTAATTGTGGTATTAATTTCTGAACAACTTTAGAAAAAGCTTCAAATATAGAATGATCATAAATAGAGGTAAGATGAAAACTAAGATGGATTTGGTCATATCCTAAAATAAAATATCATTATTATATAATTATAACATAACAAAAAAAATTGTTTTAACCTGCATCATTTAAATCATCATTTGATCTTTGATGTATATCTCTTTGAGTTTCCATTTTGCAATCATCCACTAATCCATCCACTTTATGAATAAAAACTTCAAATTTTATGTTTGGATTTACTTTATACGCTTTTGTTACTGTTAAATTTAATTTTTGCAAAGCCTCTATGTACTCATCCTAAAATTTTAATTAAATATAATTTAGAATTGCAGTTAAATTATTTATTACCTGAGCGTCAATTACAAAAACCAAAGCCCCACATCCACCGAAAATCATATCAGAATCAAAACTAGGATCAAGAAAATCAATTTGACCAGGAAAATCCCAAATTTGAAACTGAACAAAACTAGAATTATTTATATCGTCCTTGACGATTTTATTTGTACTTTCGAGGAACAAAGTCTCATTTGGTGACATTTTATGGAAGACCACTTTTTGTATAGACGATTTCCCAGATCTATACATCAATTTAAAATTAAAACAATACTTTCAAAACGTTTTTCTTTACCGTCTTAAACCCATAAGTAAGATCCGAGGTTTTTGTTCTCCAGTTGATGGTATCGTAATATCATGTTCACCATCAAATCCACCGTATCCAAACTCCTTTGGAAAAGATCCAACATGTTCATCATATCCAACACCTTCATCATCATCTTGATACGACTATAATCACACAATTTAATAAAAAAGGTGATATTATTTTCTTAACATAACCTCCAACTCACCATTTTCTTAAGTCAAGGTCCTGTTTATTGCCAATTGCCAAAAATTTATTCGAATTACGTATTTTACATTGTACACATAAAACAGCTGTATCCTCGACGACGCATTTTAATTATTGGGGCTCTCATTAAAAATTAACACATTAAAACTGACCGCTTATCGATTGTGTTGTCTCGAAAAAAATGAGTAAAAATGAAACAGAGACGAAAGTTAAATTCCAAACGCAACCCACAATCGTTTATAATAACTCGTGTGTAAATTAATGCATATATGCGATAAATGAGTGATATTAAAAATAAACTCGGCGAGTTCAGCGTCTGTGCATGAAGTGTTTTTTTTTAGTGCATTTTATGATTGTAGTTCATTCACATTTTATTTGACGATCTTTTATTTACGCACTTATCGTAAGTTACGAAACAAGACTGTTTTTATATTGGTCACATGTATAGGAGAATAGAGCATATTCAGATGATAAGAAAACGTTTAATGTATTGACTAGTTTTAGGAAATATATTAAAAATTCCAGGACAGTGAATGTACATACTAAAGATAACGATTAGTAGATAGTAGAATTTTGTTATAGATTACGTTCAAGTAAAACAGGTTGCATGTAATAATATAAAATTAATTGGAAATATTTTGCAAATCATTAACATAGCAGTTCATGTGTAACTCCCTTTAAGAAATTCCTAGAATGTTTTTTACATTGTTTTACTGGAGACATGGAAGATGATAGAAGTGCAAAAATCCTTACAACTGGAAATCAACAGAGAAAAGACCTAGAGGAACCTTATAAAAGATGATTGGACGACATAAAGAGTCTGGTGGAGAGTAGCTAGGAGTAGACAGGCATGGCATAGAATTGTTGAGGAGGCCAAAACTTACCAAGGGTTGTATATCCAGAGGAAGAAGAAGACTGGAGACATAGGAGTTTCGAATTATTATATCAGAACGGATTATTACACTTATTGTTGCAGAAAAAAATTGAATAAAAAGTTACACAAAATATTAGCAAATATTATCACATATCAAGTCAAAGATAATAGCTATGAGAAGATATTCTATATGATGAAATAACATTTGTTGTTTCATATTTGTGTTTATTAAAAATTATTGATGAGTTGTGTAATTACATGTAAAAGAATAGGAAATATGTACTATAAACGGCATATTATGCAACCAACCAAGCTAAAAGGAAAATCAACATGTTGATACTTTAAAAATTTTAAGTTTTCCAACATAAAAATTATATAAATTTAATGTAAAGTCCGTTTTACTAGTATTCATTTGTACGTTATTTCCAAGTTGCACTCACTAAGTTATCGCAAATTGAGTGTAAAGTTAGTTGCCAGCAGAGAGTTGAAGTTTGAAACAAAAAAATTGCTATAAAAGGTTTTCTTATACACAGTAACGGCCTTAAGGATGGACTTTAGCTCATAACATGTATGGAGATTGTCTATTCAGTGGATGAGGCGCAAATCAGATCATTTTTAAATTTATGTAATGTTGGATGCATAACTGACTATTTCAATTTATTTGAAAATGCGAATATTTTGAATACGCGATATTTATTAGTTTATTTATATATTAGTTTGAAGCCTGTACTTTCCGTTCCCAAAAAAATAAATTGCGCATATTTGCGTATTTTCAATAAAATGGCTAATATACAGGGTGCTGTCCACAGATATTCGACAGTGAATACTAAAAGTTAGTTTTGAAACTATCAATCGTTTACAATTTTTCAGGATAACTATTTTTTATGAATTAATATTAGTACTAACTCTATTATTAGATCTAGAACTAGAAGCTTTTCTAGAAGAAGTGCGTTCAATTCAGATATCATGTTGTAACCTTCTTCCCACACAAGTCCGAAGTATTTTTTTAGTTAAAAAATACCTATCCAACACACAGTAATAAAAAAGAAAATCAATGACGCGTTAAAATGCCAAACCAGATGCCAAGATTTCACAAAAATTATTATCAAGAAATGAACACTGCTGTATTTAAAAATTTTACAAACGACACAATTCTATTATACAATCAATTATATAATTGGTATTATATGCCTGTGGCAGTGCATAAAATTCTTATGCATGGCCACTTAATAAGCGTCCTTGATTTTCTTTTTTATTTTTAAGTGTTGGATAGGTATTTTTAAAGTAAAAAAATACTTCGGACTTGTTTGGGAAGATCGTGACTCTTTTTTAAAGACGCACGGTTAAGTCCGAAAGCTTCTATAGAAAATACAGTACAGTATACTGTACTGTATTCCAGGCGGAAGTACTGACATGGGTGCTAAAATCCTTCTTGAGAGAGCGCTGAAGAACATGACAGTAAAAACTTTCTCAGACGGTCAAGCCGCTCTCCAGGCGCTTCAAGCCATGAAAACGGTGTCGGCTCTGGTTAATGGTTGTAAGAGAACATTAAACACATTGAATTGTGATAACAGAGTTTCTTTGATCTGGGTTCCGGGTCACTCTGGGGTTGCTGGCAATGAAGCGGCAGATGAGCTAGCACGAGAGGGCAGCGCTAGTGGGCAAGCGTTTGTGGGGCCGGAACCAACAGTTGGTGTATCATTTGCGATGGCCAAATATAGAATTGGACTGTGGGCTGAAGAGAGACTTCGCCTACTGTGGACCAGTTCTCCTGGAATGAGACATGCTAAGGTGTTTATTAATATCGCCACTGTCAAACCCGGGAATATTTTAGGACTTGCCCGTAGCAGCATAAAAGTTCTAATGGGTGTCTTTACTAGGCACTGCCGCTTAAAAGAACAGCTCAACTTCTTGGGTTTAGTCGACGATATTGAATGCCGACTATGTGCGGAGGAAGCAGAGACGGTTAAGCATATTTTATGCCACTGCCCTGCCGTTAACCGTATCAGAATGCAATATTGTTAATTGCAATATTGTTAATTGCAATATTGTTAATTGCAATATTGTTAATTGCAATATTGTTAATTGCAATATTGTTAATCACAAGTAGGTCTTTCTTAATTTTAATTTGGAAAAATTGCGATCTCCAGTTGCAACTATTACTGGTATTGTTAGCAGAATAGGCAGAGTTATCCATGGTGTGGTGGCGATCTTATTGGTGAATTGAGATTGCCGTTGTAACAAAAGTTAATTTGGAAGGAAAGTTTACGTTGAAACGACTGATGTAGATTACATTATATTTAGCTGAAGATCTGGCTTTCTAATAAATTATTTACCTCAAATAATGAGAATTTTCTAGGGCTAGTTCAATTATTGGCAAGGTTTATCATAGCTCCTGTACTCCTGATATAAGCTATAGAGAGCAACTCTCTCTAATATTAAGATGCACTGACATAACCGAAAATGCCGTAACAAGTAAATAATATTTCATTACATTTTTAGAAATTGATGATACTACTGGTGCAAGTCTCACAAAAGCTATTTTACAAATATTGAGTGATCACAAGCACAATATTAGCGATTGCAGATTTATGATAATGGCGGTAACATGAAAGAAAAAAACAAAGGTTTGCAAAAGAGGATTTCTTGGTACCATATGGATGTACCAATTATAATTTAGTCTTTTAAGATTTATTCGGAATCTTGCAAAAATTTTTACTTTATTTGCAGCATAAGTAAATAGATGCAAAGTTGTAAGGGAGCATCTGAAAAGTTACACCCTTAAAAAATGAAGCGATACTCGCTGGGAATCCCGAATCGAAATTAACACTTTTTACAAGAATTTAGTACAGTCAATATTACTATTGGCCAATACCGACAATTTTGTCCACCCAATGTAAATGTCTCGTCGGAAAAAATGATGTTTTGACGAAATCTTAGTCACAACTCGGCTTCCTATACTTTGGCTAATGGCTAACACAGACCGTATTTTGGCCGTCAAACTTGTATTAGATAGCCAGCCTATCATCTGCGTACACCTCAGATGAGGTGTACTAAACGGAAAAGGAGTTATTCTTGGAAGATCTGGATGAGCTCATGACTGACATACCATCTGGGAGACTAAATTCGTCTTAAGCGACTTGAACGGCTATGTTTTCAAAATTAGCAGCACATATGCGTCTATGGTGGGTATGGGAACGGCATCGAAAATAGAGAGGGAAAAAGTATCCTAGAATTCTGCTCACGTCACGACTTGAGATTGATAAACTGCAACTTTCAAAAGAAAGTTGAGCATCTGGTCAGCTACAAAAATGGAGAAAAGTCATCACAGATTGACTTCATCCTAGTTGATAATAACTCCAAGAGGAAACTTGAAGAATTGCAAAGTTATACCGGGTGGAACCACTGACTGCTCAACATAGAATACTGTTGAGTGTACTTTATCGAAACCTATTAAGAAGATTATGGATGCGACAGTTCGAATTAAATTAAAAGCGCTTTCTGAGTCAAAGTATGACACCCTGCTCGAAGACCTGGGGGAATATCTGAAAAAGGATATAAAAACTTCTTATACCAGGGGTGATGAGATGCACAGGAACAAAGCAAGCAAATAGTACAGGCAAAAATTCGACCTTGTAGAAGGAAGAGATAAGTGATGCCATCAAAAATACTAATCTACCGTTCAAAACGTGGCAGACAACGAAACGGGAAACTGATGAATCTGATGAAGCTTTCTACAGTCAAGTCAAGAATGCGGGACGAATGCATTCGAATGGGACTTTTTAACTTTCCTGAAATAGATATAGTGCAACTTAGGATATAAAGAGAAATAAATTCGTTAAAAGTAAAACCCAAAAACTCCTAACGATGACGAAGCAGCGGGTGGTATCAATAGTATAGGGAGCTAATGAAGGAAGGGTACCCGTGCATAGAGTTGGAACTTCCGCCACCAGTTAAAGGGGTAGTCAAGGAGATCAGACTCCACGAAATGAAAAACAGTAAAGCTGTGGACCCCGATTGGATACCAGCAGAAGTGTGGAGAAGGCACAGAGATGAACATCAGGTCAATCTTTCCACCTAGGGTGAACCAGCATGACCAAGACCCTAAATGAAAATAATTTACTTGAACCAATAACCCAGGATAGAATGTAATGGAACAAAAATGTTAGGGCAGCCGACCCCACATAACTACTTTATGTGAAGTGTGAATGAGCAAAGGAGAAGAAAAAGGAGTTGTTGACCAAGAAATCAATTCTTAAGAGCTTAAATATATGGTTCAAAGATTGTAGAACTTAAATATAACTGAACGAGCGAATAGTGCTTATTCAATCATACTGTGCCAGGAATGTTGGATTAGTTTGAGATTATCAGCTTTTGATACGAATTCTGAAATTACAAGTAATGATTCTAAACTCATGTTTATGATTGAAAGATGTCACAACTCATCAGCACAAATTGAAATTTATAAGCAAAACCAAGTTTATTTGAATCATTGAGATATGTATTATAAATTTTTTTATATATTCGAAATTTTTTGATGTTTTTGAAAAATAAATTAAAATCATTAAAATAACCGAATGTTAATGATGCAAAGTAGCGACACCTAACAAAAATTGTGGCAACTTTCAAACTTTCTAATTATTTTTAAATGCTGGTTATAAAATTTTATTAACCAGTTTCTAACATTGTTCTAACGCATTAAGTAGTTGTGAAGATTAACATTATTTAAAATTTTTAAATGGATGTTGTAAATTAGTTTCACAATGCCATCTAGCAGTAATTTTCAACATTTACAACTTTAAAAATGTTTTAATTTTCTCTATATTTTTTAATATTATGTAAATACAAATTTACTAGATTTAAAATTATTTACAAAACACATTTATTTTAAAATTAATAACAATAATCGATCAACAACCTCATATTTATAAAACAGTTATCTACATTATCGACACGTGGCATTCCAAGTGGTCGCAAGTGTTGTTTTGTGCATGGCGTCAGTGTTCTCAAGTTTACCAAGGTTATTATTGATTTCATATAATTATATCCCTTAAAACTCTGTTTAAACGGTAAGAAATTACACATTTTCACTTAACCTTCCGTCCTAACCCCAACATTATCATGCATTCGGTCGGATTTCTCTTAGACTATCGACGTCACAACCGACACGATTTCTCTCCCCTTTCTAAAATGCAAAAGTCGCCCGATTTTCATTGAGATCCGCCGTGTTCTTTGCAGATGGGTGATAGCGACGACGAATACGACCGAAAAAGGCGGGACAAATTCCGTGGCGAACGTGGAGAAGCCAGTTATAGGGGCACTGAACGTACTGTTAGACCTAGGGACGATTGGCAAGAGAGGGATGCTTGGACTAGATCGCGAGCTAGAGATTATGGAAGAGGTGTAAGAGATCGAGGGTATTCTCCCAGTTTGGAACCACCGTCGAAAAGATTGAGGCATGATTATTATGGTGAAGGGTATTATAATCATTACCCTTCTTATCATCAACCCCCACATAGGTAAATTATTGAGTTTAGTTATTTATTTTTATATAGAAAGTGCTGTTAAAAGGAATTAAGTTGTTATAACTGTTTTTGTTTATTAACATTTTGGTTTATAGATTAGATTGGTGTCTATTAAAATATTTATTAACAGCTTATCCTAATTGTTATAAACCATGTTACATTTTTTAAAGAGCTGGTAATTTCTTCAGAGAGCCTCAAGCACCACCAAGTGACAGTCAACAGCCTCCAATGATGTCTTTCAAAGCATTCTTGGCCACTCAAGATGACAACATATCCGATAGTGAAGCAATCGAAAAGTATAATGATTACAAGTTGGAATTCCAAAGGCAACAACTCAACGAGTTCTTTGTAGCCCACAAAGATGATGAATGGTGAGTTTCTCATACTTAAAAATAATACTTTTTAAACACAAATGAAGAAATAACTAATTTAATGTGTTAATAGTTGTATGTGCCAAAGATTTAAAATATAAAAAAAGGAATTCAATGGATAGTTGAGAATTAATAAAGGCACATACAACTTGAACTTACAGTTCAAGTCCATAAAAATCAATGCTTTTTGTTTTTGGGAATTGATGACAATACATTTTATTCTGTAGTTGTACGTCTGTTAATATCCCTGGATATGTTTCTTTTATAAACGTTTTTCTCTACAGCGCTGTTTCGAGCCTTCCTGCAAGCTCCGTTAAATATAAATTACGTGTTGCGCGTGTGAAAAACCTTCGAATTATACGTGTGAATTATACACTGCGTTAAAAGTCTTTGATTATAATGAAATGACAAATGTGGATTTGAGCAAATTACTCGTTAATAAAAGCTGTGCGCGCAATGCACATGCTTTCGCGTTCTCTTATTTAGGGTTAACCTAGCAGGTGAGATTCACGTTTTAAGAACGATTTTATATTACATTTTTTTTTGATTCAATAATGTGTTTGTATGGGTTTGTGAATGAAAGAATCCTTTACATTTGATTTAAAAATCAATTAATTCATTATTTTTGAGATAATCTCTCAAATGTATAAGGATAAAAAGAAATTATGTTACCTTTTTATAAAAAGTTGTTGTACCTTATCGTTTTTTTTTTTAATTTCATATTTCTCATCGATTGATTATAAATATTGATCACAAATTTACAGCAACTAAGTAGTTTTTCACATACTGAAGGTTGAGTGGTTTGGGTGAATGCACAAGCCTCACCTTATATAAACAAATATAGCACTTTTAAGGTAATGTTACTTATAGGTTCCGCCTGAAATACCATCCAGAGGATTCTGTTAAAAGAAAAGAAGAACAAATGGCTGCTTTGAAGGTGATTAATTAGATTTTTATGTAGTAAATAATAGAACTTTTGTTGTTTAGCGCTTTTATTACTAATTCGCTTTTATAACTATTTGTTAACAATAAATTTGTACCGCTTTGAACGCACGCGAAGTATACACGTTCACACCTGTCTTTCCTCCTGTTCTCTATTGATTGATACTGACTATACAGGTGTCTCACATAACTGGTTCGTCCTTAGGTTTCAAGGTCTATAGAACATAAGGTTACTTAATTCCCTATGCCTCTGTAGTATCGATTATTACCCCGCAGATTGACGTCACTGGTTCGATACAGTCAGAGTAAAAGATAGCCTATACGCGCCTATACTGTGGTACAGTCTATATAAAATATTTAAACCACGCATCATGTTGTGTTGTTCATAGAACCAGCTGTCACTGACCCATCTTGCCCCTCAGAGGAGGAGAATGGTTCCACTATTCGTACAGTTTTGAAATTTTGGTAGCATGGGTTGTTCATTCGGAACTTTCGATCTAAAATATTTTCAAGATGGTTGCCACTTCCGGTCTACCGGAAGTAGACCATAACTTCGTTATTTTAAATGGCATGCTATAGTTTTTATTACACATTTTAATTGTACATAAAAAAATATGTAGACTTTCATAAAAGTTATAGGTACTTAGCGTCTTTCGTTTTTGAGTTATTTTGATTTTAAGTTTTTTTGGCAAATTTCATCATGCTCTTTAAAACCCCATATCCCATCCAACGTTCATTCAAAAAAGCTCTAAATTGGCACGATTACTCTTCAGATGCTCTCAAATAGATTGTCATTTATTGTATCAGAGTATCTTATACAGCATGGTTAAAAATTGAATTACCGTTCATTTACCGAAAATTCTACTATGAGTAGGCTTCAAACTAATGAATTATGGTCACTCACATCACTTCCGATTAAGAGCGATGAATGGTACTGTATCCTTGTAAAATTATTCTCGAATGGTTTTTAAAACATTTTTAGTAAAATCTAAGTAAAATTAAGCTATCTAATCGACTAATGTAATATTGCTATTTCTTTAAAATAACGAAGCTTGCATCCATTTCCAGTATTACTGGAAGTAAAATTTTGGTAAACACTAAAATTCTACCAGTTTATTGTACATCTTTCTAAATTTTAAATTTTAGTAGATTTTACTAGACTTATAAAATTCTGCCACATTTTTATATTTTTTCAATGTTACTTCCATTTTATAATTGCATTGAATGTATTATTAAAATTATTTATATTTGAGGTGATGATGTAACAGAAGTATATTCGATATTTCAAAATGTTTTTTCTTCCTTAGAATTAATGTATCTAACAACTAAAGCTTTTAAAAACTAATAAAACGGCTAGATCCAAAAACTTTGTTGAAAAATGATGAGCACTAAGATACGCAACTTTGCCCCATTTGACCATTTCTGTATTTCTTATGGTTTCTGAGATCACAATGAATTTGAATTACCCTGTATATCGTGGTAGGTATCAACTTTAGAGTAGAGTAGCCATTATTCATATTGACCGGGAAAAGTGATTAGTCATGCAGTTTTACTACATTGCCCACTTGATACAGGCGTTATGTATACAGACCGGTCATTATTCATAGTGACTGGACTTCTCAAGTTGCCTGTAACATACAGGATGCCTATTATGTATGGAATATAGTATATATCTCGGTAAATGTTGACTTTATACTTAAACATTTTATACAAAAGTTGTTCAATATTTTATTTGCCATAATAATACTGCATTCAATAGTTTTTATTTCAGAAAACAAATGACCACTGAAGAACACTTCAAATTTTTTAAATAGCAATGTACCCTTTCGTTAGGCTCATTTGATAGAGATTTTTTTTCTCTTTAAGATCTAAAATTTTAGTACCCTTATATCAGAAAATTTTTGAAAAAATGTAATAATTGTTTATTAAGAAAATTTAACTAATAACATTAATCTAGATATGCGAGATCGTCAAGTACCTCGAAGTACCTCAAATTATAGGAGATTTACACAAATTTTTCGTTTATTACTTTTATTTTGTATGTAAATTTAATTTACGGTAATAATTCGAGGTACATGACTATCTCGGATATTTAGATTAATGTTATTGATTAATTTTTATTAATAAAGTATCCTTACTTTTTTCAAAAATTTTCTGATGGAAGGATACAAAAATTTTACGTCATCGTAATGAGAAAAGTAATCTCTATCAAATGAGCCTACCAAAAGGGTACATTGTCATTTAAAAAAATTTAAGTGTTATTCGTTACTCATTTGTTTTCTGAATTAAAAACAATTGAATGCAGTCTTATTATGGCAAATAAAATATTGAACAACTTTTGTATAAAATGTTTAAGTGTAAAGTCAACATTTACCGAGATATATACTATATTCCATACATAATGGGCCCTGTATGTTACGGGCAACTTGAGAAGTCCGGTCACTATGAATAATGATCGATCTGTATACATAACGCCCGTATCAAGTATCAACAGTTTAAAAATTAGTTAGTAATCTGAAATATTTGAAATCTTAAAATTGTGCAAGGATTTTATTAAGATTAGAATTATTTATTCTTGCAAGGCGAGCTTTTGTGACATTTTAAATTGCAAAGAATATTTGATTTCTTGCATTTACAACGTTTTGAACTGCAGTCACTAGTACAATTACAATGTTGGAAGCCTTGTCCATCAAAATGAGAGTCTTTTCAAGCACATTCGCGAAGAGTGATATCAACTTTTGGAACATCGTTAATAGAAATGAACTTTTCTTTACATACAGTAAATTAATTTCTGGAGTACAGTTGGTTTAAAATACCGTGTTTCGTTCCTAGTTTGTAAAGGTTTACTTTTTTCACAGAAATAATGATGGCAATTATATTACGACTATCCATCTTGGCCCGATCTACATCTGGTACCCTTATTCGAACGCTTTGGCCTATTTCTGCAACAGGAAATTTTGCGTTTGAATGCACCAACATTTTTTCAGCTTGCTTTTCAAGTGATATTTTAGCTGCGCCACGAGCCTCTCGAATTTTGCTTGATACTTCGTTCTGTAAACATGCAGCCTTTTCATTATCAGTATTTTCCTCTTCATTGAACATAGCGGCAGAAACAGGCTGATCGTCTGGTCGAGGGTTTTCATTTATTGTGTCCACAGCAGGTTGTTGATTTTCTGGCTGAAGTTCGTCATTTATTGTATCGGCAGAAGGTTGTTCCGGTTCAGCACGAGCTTGAGGTTCAATTGTAACAGAAATTGAATGAGGAACAACGGCTAAGTTTTCATCTGTGCTATTATTATCATCCTCTGTCCAAAATTATGTTTTGACTTTCACCGGAATTACCATCTTTTAACATTGTCTCAAGGTCTTCTTCACTTACTATTTCCGGCAATCCGTCAAAGGATGGCAAGACCGATTTTCAACCTACTTTAGGTTTGGAGCCAAACATAGCTTCGTAAGGACTGCGATCGATGCCGGAGTGATAAGCTCTGTTTTTCATGAACTGTACGAATCTTAGCCACTCCGACCATTTTGTGGTTTCATTTGTCTCTAACCATGTAAAAACCATCTTTTCTATATCCTGATTTGCTCTTTCTACTGAGCCTTGAGATTGGCTATGACGGGGTTTGCCATGTACAATTTTTGGTTCTTCCCACATTTGGCATAGTTCGACAATAACTTTATTTATGAACTCTCTGCCATTGTCACTGTGCAAAATGCATGGCGCTCCAAATATTGTGAAGATATCCAGCACATGATATGCGACTTCTTCGGCGCGCTTTGTTTTTAGTGATCTGAGAATCACAAACTTGGTGAGCTGATCTTGATACACCGTGATGAACTTAAAATCACCGTCTGCTTGTGTTTGCATGTCGATCAAGTCGACTTGGCATCGTGAGTTAAATTAACTACTTTTTATAGGCTTAGCCCTTTCTTTGGTACACTTAATTTTTTTTTGACGTGGTTCACAAAGAGTCAAATACAGAGCCATAAATTCTTTAGTAATGTTTCAGTTTGAGTTCTTTCATCATCCTATTTCTATCTCCATGCCTGATGGAACATGAGTTTCGTGAATAATATCAAACGTTTCTTCCATATAACAGTAATATTTAATGGGTTCCCTTTCATTTTTCACTGGGACTATTAATTTTTGGATTGTTCCAATTTTTACTATATCATACCTCGACAATTGTTGATATTTCTCTGGATATTCCTCAGGAGTTTTGTTAGCGAGCTTGTCTTTAGTCACATGCACATTGGTTAAAACTGAATAATACTCATCGCGAGTAAACAACTGAATGTTTTTCCCTTTCGTTAATTTTAATTTATGAATTTCTTCGTTAAACGTGTTCATATCCATGGATTCCGCCATTTTGCGAGATAACCGTACTGAATGCAGTCAATTAAAAAATTGAGTTAAAAATACGAATGGAATATCAGAAATAAAGCAACAAAAAGCATAAAAGACGCCAAACACACAGCTAATAAATATATCAGTGCGCATGCGATACCCTATAGTGACTTTACCTGTCTGTACTTTTCGTAACTATTTCAACTAATCAAAGCAATCTTATACAAGCTCGCGCACCGTTGAACTAACATAACGCACCCCGCCGCGCCTAGAAGTAGGGATGTATTCATACTGCCCGGTCCAAATAATAATTTCAAGCTATTTCAGACTTTGATTTTTTAAATGGACCACGGGCCATCGGGCATTATTAATATGGACCGGCCAAAGTAATAAATTTATCAATTTGGCCGACACTCTTGGTCATTATTCATAATGATCGGTCCATATTTATACTGCCCGGTTAATCAAGTTGCCCGTAACATATACATGGTAGCAAAGAGCAAAATATAGAGCAACGCGTTTTGGAAGCAGCGCGACGATGAAAGCAACTACCGCACATAGTGGAGAATGGCTGCTAACGAAGAACATAATTTGTCTGTTCTTAATGGAAACATCATCATTAACAGTTTGGTATCTGTTACAAACACATGAAACAAGAAGTTGTACAACAAACATAGAGATTATTTTTGCAAATTTATACGAACTTATACGAACGCTTACGAAAACATCCAACAAAATTCGTATCGTCAAAGGTTTTTGTTTCGGAGGACGACCGTGATTAGTAAAAATCGAGCTTTATTGATAACATTCTAATATTGTGAATATCCTTCCATTTTAGCACCACAATAACTTTGTCATCTTCTCATGCTATCATTTCACCTATCTTTAATGGGTGCATTTGATTACAAAACGTGGTATACATTTCTTGTTGTACTATACAATTCCAACGACATGCGTCTTGAATTTCAAAAATTGTCGATAAGTAAGGTTCGTCGTTCATTTAGCAATTTATCTGTAAGTTAATGTAGATGTTTGCAGAACTTGCTTTCTTCCGCTGGTAACTCGTCCAGATTATAGTTTCGCATACCATGTATACCCTTCGATGGAGTACAGTTTGATAAGTTTTATACTATACTTATGTGATTTCGTCGGTATGTATTGCCCGAATATTAGTCGTCCCCTCCTAGGATTATTGTCTCGTCGACTACAATATCTTCGCCTAATGAAAAGACTTTGATAAGTGTCTATCAGTGTTAAGGAGTCGTAAAACTTTTCCAAGTCTGTTACACTCTTCTATCATTTCGTTATTTGCAAAATGCAAGTTTGCTAACAGTAATTCGAAAGGATTGCGTGACATCTTGCTGCGCGGAAATGTAAAACTTGTAAATAGGTTTAAATTTAGTAATTTTTTCAGAAGTTGTGGGTTTCTATCTGTTTAGTTACGCATGGTTAGTTATTTCATATTGAAGCAGTTCAAGCTCTGCATATCTATTAGTCTCTCTGTCTCTACTATTGTTCAATGAATCATCAACAGAATTCAGTTCCTTTTATTCGTCCATAGTATGTTTTTCCAACATGTGAAGGTCTTGCATCTGATTCGTCACATTATTACTCGTCATTTAAAACTCACTACTTTGCCATCACTACTCTCCTCACTTTCAATTATACGTTGACAAAAAGTCAATGACGTGCGTCTCAAAAAAGTATGCTCTCTACTAAATGAAGAATCTGGGATAACTACAGTGAGATCTCAGACAGTCCTCTAGCCGAAACGCTTATTGCTCTCCCCATTTCGGAACTTTGTAATGGACGCTTTTATCACTATGTGTAATGATTCTATCACATTGTTTATCACAATGAGTTTACAACGATTTGTTAACAATAAATTCATACCGCTTCAATCGCACGCGAAGTACACACGATCTCTGTCGCTTAGTGCTGACTATATGATTATTTTCTTAAAAGATGTCGCTAGCTGTTACGTTTAGGTCCATTACTACAATCTTTTAGTTAAATTTATCTTATAGATAAACCCATCTACTAGCCAATCAGAGCGCGTAAAAAAACCGTAACCGTGATAATAATCCCTAGATAGCTTAATCAGAACTACCATCTTCTGATGGTAACTAACGAGCCTTAAACGAACGATTTAGCAACGTCGCTTGCGAGCGACGTTACCAGATCGTTGATTTATACCTTTATTTTTACTAATCACATTTATGTAATATAGAAACGAGTAACCGTCTTCATGGATCTCCTAAATTCCGAAAAATTGTCAACCATTTCAATAGACTATTCTCGTACAAATGATTTATTGAAAGTTTTGGATACAGTTGTGGTTAAATTGGAAGGCGGTACAGATGAAGATTTAGCTATTTTAGAACAAGAATACAGTGGTAAGTACTAAATAATAATAAAATTACTTTTGATTGATAAAAATAAATATTCAACTAGAACTCGAAAAGAAGGAACAAAAACCGGAAGAAATTCCAGAGAAGAAAGAAGAAGTTCAGCCAGGTAAAGAGGATGGAGAAATAGAAAGTGCTGAAAATAACAAAGTTGAGCTTATTGACGATAACGACGGTGAAATCAAAGAAAACGGTGACGAAAAAGAACAAGAAAATAAAGACGAAGAAAAAATGGAAGTTGTAGAGAGTGAACACGTGGATGAAGAAAAAGGAAAAGTTGATGAAGGCGAGAAAGAATTTGTTGAAAAAGACGAAGAAGAAAACCCACCCGAAGAAACTCCTAAACCGGCTGAACCAGAACAGCAAGAGGAAAAGAAAGAGAAGAGGAGGAAACGATCATATTCAGGAAGCAGTAGTTCAGAAAGTAGCAGTAGTTCCAGTGATAGCGAAGATGAAAAAGTAGAAAAACCCAAGGAAAAATCCATTGAAAAAGAAGAAGTAATAAAAGAAAAGGAAGAAGAAGAAGAAGAGCCGAAAATAGAAGTCGTTCCAGATGATCCAAAGCCCGAAAAGCCAAGATCACTTCACAAAACAACTTCCATATTCTTACGAAATCTTGCTCCAACTATCACAAGACAAGAAGTTGAAGCAATGTGTTCAAGATATGATGGTTTTCTTAGAGTTGCTTTAGCAGATCCACAACCAGACAGACGTTGGCTTAGAAGAGGGTGGGTTACGTTCAAACGCGACGCTAATATCAAAGAAATCTGTTGGAATCTCAATAATATTCGCTTACGAGATTGTGAATTAGGCGCCATCGTAAACAGGGATTTAAGTCGCCGCATTCGGCCGATAAACGGAATTACAGCCCATAAACAAGTAGTTCGTTCTGATATCCGCATTTCCGCTCGCGTTGCTCTTCATTTAGATAACAAAGTTGGTTTGTGGTTGGATGACGATGAAAAGAAAGAGAAAAACCAACCAAGTTTTGGATTAGTTTCAAACAATCCAGTATTACACAATATCACAGATTATTTGATTGAAGAAGCCAGCGCTGAGGAAGAGGAACTATTGGGATTAGAACCATCTGCTGACAATCAAGATTCTACAAGCACTGTTGACCGAGATGATACTTTAATTAGCGTTTTGGATCGCATCATCATGTACTTGAGAGTTGTACATTCGGTTGATTATTATAATCATTGCGAATATCCCAATGAGGATGAAATGCCCAATAGATGTGGAATTTTGCACGCACGTGGTCCACCTCCAACAGCTAAAGTAAGTGAAAGTTAAATATAAATAATTTTGATCCAAATTGATAAGCCTTTTTTTCTTTATTAACCAACCAAAGTTCTTTTTAATTGTAGACTGACATAACACAATTTATTGGATTACCAATTGAAACAAAAATGGCACCTTTTCTCCCAGAAAAACAATGCAAAGAAGATAATAAGAACGACACAAAATTAATAAGTCTTTCCATGAAAGATGTTGATACAGAAATTGATAAGTTTGTGCAAGCGAATACAAGAGAATTGGCGAAAGATAAATGGCTTTGTCCGCTTTCTGGTAAAAAATTCAAAGGACCCGATTACGTTCGTAAACACATATTCAATAAACATGCGGAGAAGATTGACGAGGTGCGAAAAGAAGTGGAGTTTTTCAATAATTATTTACAGGATGCAAAACGACCGATGTTAGCAGAACCGACTGCTCCAAAAAGAGAGGAGCAACCTGCTTATAATCACCCTTCGTAAGTATTTCTTATTGATGATTGATGACGATTTTTTTTATTGTTAATGTTGAGTGGTTCTAGGAGTTATGGTGGGGGTACATACGGGTCTTATGGACCGCCAAGGTATTATAATCAAGGTTATGCTAATAGGCCAAGAGGATATTCAGCTAGATCCAGGTTAGATTTTTATTATTAAATAAATTGGAGATTTTTATTATTAAATAAATTGGAGATTTTTATTATTATTTATTTTAAAGGGGTGGAGGTGGTGGTGGCGGTGGTGGAGGTGATTACAGACCAGTCATCCACTACCGTGACTTGGACGCTCCTAGAGAACCAGAAGAATTCATTTAAATTATATCTAGTTGGACAAATTTGACGTCCTGTAAAGTTTCTTATTTTTGTAGGTTTTAACGGTATAGGTAGTAATTACCAAGATTCAATTTTATTCCAAATAGGTTCACAAGTGCTCCTTGACGTAGTCACTGATTTTGTATTCTTCTAAAAGAGTAGTTAGAAAAGACTTGTGTTTCTGTCTTTTGTATGTTGCATATACCTTATATATAAAGTTTTGTTATGAAAAGAATTGTGTAACGATAAATTAGTTGAATAAACTTTTTTTGTGGCTTACATTTTTTTTAATAATTTGTTTTAAAATATTTATTATGTTTCGATTTTTATTAATATGTATAGTGTTATGTTTAAAAATTTTTAATGTTTACTCCGAAATAGCTGTGAGTAATAGATGAGTCTTTTGTTCCATTAAAACCCAACAAAATATCTCTTATCTGGTGCGATAACAAACGATAAGATAGCAATGTATCAGGTGCGTATCATCATTTCACAAATTGTTCCAATTAACAAGGTTGATACAACCTTAAAATGGCGTTTAAAAAATCGTTGTTATTTTATATTGCAATAATTGCTCGTAAGTACAAATATTTTACTAATTTTCATCTTATGATTCTTTGGCACCAATAAATTTTGATTATTATATATTTTTTATTTTCTTTATCAGTGGTATTTGCAATTTTACAACCGGAAGTCGTTGAAGCGAGAAGGAAAGTTTTAAGAGGAAGGCGAACAGTTACAAGAAGTTATTATAGTAAGTAAAAATTACATTATGCTTTAAAATATTGTCAAATTCGACGAATATTTTAAGGACGCCATGTTTAAATAAATGTGAAATACACACCTTTTACTAATCTAATCTTAAACTAAACTCAAATTTGATAGCTATATGTACAATTTAAACCGAATTGGATATTAATAAATAACGTTTTTTAGGACCGCTTCCAATACCTGCTTGGGCGATTGTAGGATTAGTCGGATTAGGGCAATTAATTATTGGTGTAATAGCATTTTTCATCATGAAGAAAACTATTATTGATCCACCTCTTTCTGGTTCATACACGCCTGCTGCCACGGCGTAATAAACTTCTTTAGTATTTAAGTATGTGTTAGGTTTAATTAATGTATGTTTCTCTAACATTCCTTCTTTTATATTTATCATAATTTTGTAAAAATGTTTATTCCTAAAATCACATCATTTAAATAAAACCATTATGTGTTGTATTATCTTGAATAAAAACAAATTAATTTTGCTCATTTTGTAGTTTTAATATATTTTGTACATTAAAACAAGTATTTATTATATTGATACTTTATTAAAAGACTACATTAGTTAAACAATATCTTGTCTTACAATAAATAGATGTATAATCACAAATTTCTTTCTCATCTAATATTAGGATTAATTATAGAAACATTTAGATTAGACGCATGATTTTCATGATGTCCACTAGAAAAAACATCAGAAACCATATTGTCTATGTTCGGTAAGTACTCCATTGTGGTTAATGAATCCTTCAACAAATATACCGATTTTGAACTTCGTTTTGCATGTCTGAAAAAGCTAAACTTTCTTTTTTTCGTCTTCTTTAAGCCAACAGTTGTTGATGTTGGGGTTGTAGTCGATTTCTTAGTTCTAAGAGTGGTTGTTTTTGGTGATTTCTTTTTCGATCTATTACCGATAGTAGATTGAGCAACGTTATCCGAAATCTGATTTGTAGGTTGTACAATATAGCATGTAGTCACATATGGAACATCTAATGGACTTGCAAGGTCCGTAGGTTTTTCTAATTGAGTTATTTGCGGTGGATTTAAAGGTATTTCGGTTGTCATTGCCCCAGTATCTATGGGAGAAGGAGTACTTATCTCGAAATCACTCATTAGATTAATTGGTGACAAATTATTACTAGCAACATCGAATAACGTTGTTTCGGCATCAAATTGTACAGGACACTGAGCTGCTTCCAAACCAACATTTACATTAAAAGGTTGATCAATTCCCTGGTCTAAATGATCTACGTTTGATGTTTGCATTTCTATTTGACCAAAATTAGCATTTGCATTAGTTACTGTTTCTCCAGGTGCTAAATTAGGTATTGCTCCAAAGTTGTTATTGCTTGGAGGACTCATTATTTCTCCAGACGATAAATTAGGCGTCATAATTTCACCAAAATTATTATTCTCATTAAACGAGGTTGATATTTCATTCATATCTCCAGCACCTTGATTTAATTCCATTGGATTAACAGTCTCAATTGAACCCTTATTTTCTACTGCATTGATTATTCCAAAATCACAAACACCAGTATTATCCATAAACTTAACTTCGCATTCAGAGTTAGGTTCCGCATCCGCTTTATGCAAAAAATCAAACAATGGATTCCTAGTGTAAACGTATGTTGTTGATTCTGTTGTTCCCATTTGACTTTCCATATATGCATAAACATCAATATCTGGTGGCGTTGGGAAATAATCCGGTTCAAGAAGTGGATCGTGAATATGTATTTGTCTAGTTGAGTCATATATTGAATCGCATAACTTTTTTTCAGTGAATTCGCATTCACATGGTTCTTCTTCAACACACGGTGTTATGTCTGTTACAAATTCAGTTTGTTGCGCTTCCACTGAAAGCGTGTATTGTTCGGCAGTTTGTTGCGCTTGACTTGAAATTGTGGATTGGTCAGTAACTTGTTGCGCTCCTATTGAAAGTGTGGATTGTTCAGTAACTTGTTGCCCTCCTATTGAAAGTGTGTTTTGTTCTGCTGGAGCTCCGGGAATGGTTGTTTGCCCACACGAAGCTAATAATTCAGGTGATAATATTTGTGAAGGGTGGTTGAATGGGCTAGGTGATGCGGATTGCGGGTTTGAAGGAGGTTGAGCAGGAGAAAGTGTAGGTTGTGATTCAGAAGCAGGAGTAAGTAAGTTATAAACTGAAGTTAATTGTGCTCCTTGAATTGACTGACCAGAAACAGCTCTATTACTAATATTTTCTAGAGGTATATTTATTGATGGTCCTAAAGATTTTTGATTAAAATCTGTTTGGTTCGGTTGGGTTAACAAGTTAGGTAAACTTGTACTGCATTCATTAAAATTAGAATTATTTTGAGATAAAGATGTTGAGAGAGATTTATTCGTGGAAGCTGATACCACTGGAATATCAAAAGATATCGATTGAGTTAATGACATAACTTGACCTGGATTTGTAGCAATCACATTAGTAATAGAAGAAAATTCTTGTTTTAGAGTTGATTGTGTAGAGCTGGGTGATACGTTACTTATCAATCCAGATTGAATCAAAGATACAGATTGCGTAGAAAATGAAATAGGCGATGTTGGTAACAGCGATTCAGAAGATACATTAGTTGCTGGTAGTGTAAATGACTTAATATCTTTCTGTTGAAATGCTTGACCGATTGATATAGGCTGGTTAGCAAAGGAAGCAGTGGCAGCGATTGGTGTCATTATATTAAGCCTTGAAGGACTATTTAAGAGTGCCGGTGGTATGGAGCATGTTGATGCTGCCGAAGAAAAACTTGTTTGTGTCTCAGGAAATTTATTTTTTACAGCATCCTGTATTTCGAAAAGTTTCGTCGATGATATGGAAGGGTTTGTAGGATTAAAATTTTGTTGTGTCAGAATAGGGTTATTAGTTTGCTGATTTGCAAAAGAAGTAGTGACAAGAAATGAAGTTATTGATGTGGGTAAAATAGATTCGGAAAGTTGAGAGGTACCTGGTGGAGTAAATGATTTAATATTTTTTTGTTGAAATGCTTGTCCAATTGGTATAGGCTGGTTTGCAAATGAAGCAGTGGCAGCGATTGGTGCCATTATGTTAACGTTTGGAGTATTATTTAAGAGACTCGGTGCTGTAGAATATGGGGATGCGTCATTTTGTATTTCGGAAAGATTCATTGATGACATGAAAGGTGTTGCAGGATTAAGATTTTGCGATATCGGAATAGGGATGTCTTCCTCTTGGACTATACTTGCAGTAAATAAAGGAGTTGTTAATAAACTTGTGATATTATTTGAATTTATTGTTACATCTTGTGCAGAATTTCGACATGTACTGATTGTTTGCGGCAATGAGACGTTAAATTGTCCTAACAATTGCGAATAAACGGTTTCGTTCGATATTTCAGCCAACTTTGTTTGCGGCAGCGGAGATATGTTTGTTGCTGATAATGTTTGAGTTCCAATAGAAGTAATGTTCATAGTTTTTATATCACCATTTAAATTTGCGTTATCAAAATTAACACTTTGAGTGACTAAACCCTCAGATATATTTATTCCTAATGCAATATTATTTGGCGTTTGATTTAAAAGGTTTGCCATAGATAATGTTGCAACATTTGGTACCTCATTTTCTATCGTGTTATTAGTGAGTGCGTTAGGAAAGCTTATATTTGTAATATTGGTCGGCAGCATAACTTCTGATACGATCCCTCCTAAAGCAGGATTTGTGGGAAGATTGGTAGTTGTGAGAAGTAAATTTCGAAACGTTTGACTTAGATGTATTTGTGTTAAATTATAAGAAGAGGTTGTTGTATCTAACATATTCAGTAGTGACATTTGGCATTGTGAAGATTTCATCGACTCAGAAGAATTTTCATTCCCTCCTGCTTTAATAGTAGTAAGAGATGTTTCATTAGCTAGTATTGATAAAGAGGATGGCAATAAACTTGTGTTACTTAATTGTGATGTTATTTTATCTGAAGGTTGCATTGATTGTGGTGTAATTAGCCCAGGAATAATTGATTGCGAAGCAACTTGATTTGTTGGAGCTAAAACTGATTCATTTACAACCGTTACGGTTCCTTCTTGTTTTATATTTGTAGTCATTGAGCTTAATGTGTATTCTTTCTGTACTTTCACAGCATTAGCTGCACCAACACTTGGTGAAGATCCAATTTGTGATGAAAATTGTTGAGGTTTTAAAATATCAGTTTTTGGAGTATTATTTAAAGAAATCGCTATAGTGGTATTTAAATATTCAGAAGGTGATAAGTTTGGTTGTTGTACCGAAATAGTGATTCCTTTTGGAGTCGTTAAAATTTCAGATAAGCTACTATTTGTTGATATTATTTGTTGTGTTGTAGTATTCCTAACATTTGTATTTATTGCGTTCATTATCTCAAGGAAACATGGCTCTTCAGTATCATTATTTAAGTTTTCATCAATTGGATTTTTGAGTTTGTTGATAGTTAGTTTCATGAGCTTAATTATATTTTCTTTGTTCTTTATTTCATTTGAAATAGACTGTAAACTTCTCATATTTGTAGTTAGCAAAGATGGAGGTTGTTGATTTTGATTAATTGGATTTGAAGGTTCATTACCATTAGGTGGGGGTGGATTTTGACAAGTAGAAGTTAAAGCTTCATTATGAAGATTAGAAGGTTCATTACCATTTAGTGGAGGTGTATTTTGACCAATAGGAGTTAAAGCTTCATAAGCATGATTTGAAGGTTCATTACCATTAAGTGGGGGTGGATTTTGACCAGTAGGTGTTAAAGCTTCATTCGGATGGTTTAAAGGTTCATTACCATTAAGTGGGGGTGGATTTTGACCAGTAGGAATTAAAGCTTCATTAGGATGATTTGCAGGTTCATTACCATAAGGTGGGGGTGGATTTTGACCAGAAGGAGTTATAGCTTCATTGGGAGGTGGATTTTGTGGACCTGGTAAATTTACAAACGATGGTGTAACTCCAGTAGCAATTGCTGTGTTTTGATATGCAATGTCATCACATTTTGCCAATATTTCATCGACATTTAGTTTACTATCGAGGTTTGAGAAATTTAGTGGCTTTTGTGGAAATGAAAAGTTAAGAGTGTAATGATGAGTTAACATTGTAGCAATAGGGATTGCCATATAACTAACCATACATTCTGCACTCGGTGTTGGCATAGTAGCTAATTCTTTCATTAATTTTTCATTGGATATAGTTGGATTTATAGCAGCGATTGTATTTGCCTCTGTAGACAAAATAGCTGTATTAGGCGTAACTTTGCAACTACATGACGAACGTGGTGGACATACATTCTGTGGCTTATTTAAAATATTTGTAAATGTTTGAGATTGTGTAACTGTGTTTATTGCGTATTCCTTTTGTTCGTTTGCAGCCCCTTCATTTACATTAGAAACAGCATTTGGATTTCCAATTATGGGTGAAATTTGTTGGGGTCCAACACTATTTGGATTATTACTTGCAATACTAACTGTATTTGAATTTAGATCTGTTACAGGAACATATTGTGTAACTGTGTTTATGTTGGTAACGTCATTTGAATTTCCAATAATGGGTGAAACTTGTTGAGCTCCAACAATATTAGGATTATTACTTGTAATACTAATTGTATTTGAATTTAAATCTGTTACAGGAACACATGCGGTTACTAAACCTTGACCCGATAAATTTGAATTTAGTGTATTAACGCCATTTGCATTATTTATTGACGCATCATTTCCATTTAATGATCCCAAAACATTATTATTACCTACTGGAGCATTATTATTTTGGTTTGTATAACCAGCAGAAGTCTGCTCAACTAAAGGATTCCCAGTTATACCTCCTTGTAATAACTCTCCAGGATTTAAATTTGAATTTAAATTAGTAACAACATTTGGTGATACTCCCAATGGTAATTGGTTGCTTTGGCTTAAAGCTGTATCGGAAGGCTGTAACGAATCGACAGTTGTCTCTAATATTGCATCATCATGTTTAGTAGGTTCTGCAAATTCTAATAAATCGGTAAACACATTTAAATTACGATGGCAAGTTGTTATTAACATCGAAGGCGTTGTGTCAACATTGGGTGCATTTCCGAAAACATTTTCAACATTAGTAACAACATTTGGCGACCCCCCCAATGGTACTTGATTACTTAATTGATTAGTTTGACTTAAAGCTGTTGTCCCAAACATTGCGTCATCGTGTTTTATTGTCTGTGGAGCTCCAAATAAATCGGTAATTGAATTAATATTAGGATTGGGAGGTGTTGTTTCTAAGACGGGTGCATTTCCATATGGAGAAGAATAAGGTGTCGTCTGTTGGAACGTGTTCATTGGTGTACCTAACACTAAATCTCCTTGTGGTGTTGTTTCGAAGAATGAATCTACGAAATTTAAATTCGGTTTATTATTATCGGCGTTATCAATTACACCATTAGAACTACTCGCGGGATTTGGCAATTCCTGAAATTGGTTCATTTGATTTAAAGGAGCAGAAGAAGATTGTTGACGTAACAAGTTTATAGTTGTAAGTAAAGCTGTATCTTCTTGTTTGGTAGCTTCAGGAACACCTAGTAAAGAGTTAACTGGGTTTAAATTTGGATTAGATGTTACTAGAATTGAAGGTGTAGTTTGTACAGCTGTAGCTGAATCTTGTAGCAAATCTAGAATAAATTGATCGACATACTCCGATGTACCTACTGCGTTAGGAACATTATTTCCTTGCCCTATGCTGTTTTGATAGAGATTCGTTTGTTGCAATTGAATTGGGCTAGATGAGAATAAAGGCGGATTAGAAAAACTATTAATGTTTTGAGTAATTTGACCTGAATTCGAATTTATATTACTATTAGCATCACCAGCCTGATTATTTCCAATATTTGGAAAACCTAAATTGTTATTTTCAGTAGTAATAGCAAAATTAGAATTTGTGGAATGATTTTCTATGTGATCAGAAGGCAAAATACTAGATTTATTCAACCCAGCATCAAGTAATATGTCTAAAATACATGCATCAACAGAATCGGTTGGCAATGAACGAGTTTCATTATCCAATTGATTTATTGAGGAATGTTCTGCAAGAATATTTTCTAAAATATCTGTGGTTGAATCTAATTTGGATAAATTATAGTTACTTGTGCCATTAGCACCCTTTAATGGCCCTATTTGTGATTCATCCTCCTTAATGCTGCCTTTTGAGTCACTGAGATTTTTTTGTGGTACAAGTTGGATATATTTTGGTGTAGATGCGTTCATCGATGTTGTAAACAATAAACGAAGATCAATTACGCATCCTTCCTTCATATTTGCGTTTGGAAGTGGAAGATATATATCAGTTGCTTCAATATGCTCATTAGATTGATCACTTGATGATTCTAACCCATTAGTTTCAGAGAAAGTTTTATTTGGAAGTGGAAGAAATATATCAGTTGCTACAATAGGCGCATTAAATAGATCACCTGATGACTCTAACTCGTTAATTTCAGAGATAGTATTATGTAAAGGATTTATAGTAGATTCATTTAAAGCTAATTCCAATATATTTTCGTATTCGCAGATATCGCTTGCTAACTCTAACTCCTCATTATCCGTGGATAACTCAAAAATAGATTCACTAATAGAAGACATAGTTTCATTAGAAGGGGCAATTAACTCATTGGTAACCAAATCTAATACACTAGAAGTTAACTCTTCATTAGGAGATGTTAATTCATTTAAAGAACTTGTAGATTCTAAATTAGTTAACGACATTTCTGATTCAATACTGACAATTGTGGTAAGAGATTCTGTGGTGGTTGAATTAATTTCATTTAGAGGTGTTTCTGATTCTAACCCAACTAATTCTGTAGACGCATTAGAAACAGATTCCTCCGTAGGAGATGAGTTTTCAGTTAAAGCTTCTGATGACTCCAACCCAACCGAACTAACAGATGTACTAGATGAAGATTCTTCATTCGAACTACTTTCACCTAAAGTGGTTAATGTATCAGTTGATAGCTCTGATTCGGACTCATTGTTTGTCATAATGGTGCTTTCTGAATTTGTACTAATAGGAGTTGTGCTGGTTGGTTTCGTTTTGGTGGTTTTAACCTTAAATTTTTTATCCGATGTTTGAGTTGTAGTTTCTATATTGGATGTGGAACTTTCTGTGGATTCATTAGATTCAGTGTTAATGCTTCCTGTACTTGTTGTAATGGATGTTGTACTTTCCGTAGATTCGTTGGATGCAGTGCTAATTGATGTGGTTATGCTCTCTGTATCGGTGTTGTTAGGAGATGTAGTATTTTCTATAGATTTATTTCCAACGTTTACTTGGGTCGTTTTTATAATTTCTGTAGAATCATTGGATTCACTGCTAATTGATGTAATTATGCTTTCTGAACTTATGTTATTAGAAGTTGTACTGTTTTCTGTAGTATTAGCTCCAACGATTACTTCGGCTGCTTTTGTAATTTCTGTAGAATCATTGGATTCATCGCTAATTGATGTAGTTATGCTTTCTGTAGTGGTGTTACTAGAAGCAGTACTGCTTTCTATAGAAATAGTTCCAAAGGATACTTCGGTTATATTTGTACTTTCTGTTGATTCACTGGATTCCGTGTTAATAGATGTTGTTGTGCTGTTTGATGTTGTTACTTCCGTCGTTTCTGTTGATTCGGTGTTACTGCTTTGTTCATCTTCAAATACAAGTGACGCAAGTGTTATCACCTCCGTTGTCGACGAGATTTCGGTATTTTTTAGATTATTAATTGTAATTTCTTTTATATTATATGGTGTGGTAGCTTTATTTTTAGCTTTCTTTCGAGAAGTAAATTTTAAAAGTTTTTTAAAATATACACCATCTGCACTATCTTCTTTGGGAAAAAGAAGTTGCTCAACCGAAGAAGTCTTCTTACCGGACTCCATAGCTACTTTTCCAAGATTCCAACTCGTCGTCATAGTTTTTTTAATTTGACATAGTTCCGTCATAACATTGTACGAATCATTTACGTTATATAAAACATAGCTACCTTCTCTAGAAAGAAAAGCAGCACTTGGTTCAAGTGAGCTTTGATTAGGACCTACACCTTGATGCGGTTTTAATAATGTACGCGGTCCTTCAGGAATTGTTGTTTTTGGAGCATCGCCGTTTGCGGAAGTTGTAATATCTGTGGCTGTAGTGATATAACTGGATCCACTAACAGTTTCGACTACCGTGCCAGCGGTTTCATTGGAGGTTGCTATTTCCGTTTTAAAATCAGTGTTTTTAATTTCTTCATCTCCATCTCCTTCCGCAGTTATGGTTGTGCTGACACTGTCTTTCTTATCAGGCTTAAAAACACGTTTCAAAAACGGCTTTTTCGTGCATTTAGGTTTTTTTGACGCTGCTACTGAAACGTTATCTTTCGGATCTCTTTTATCGCTGCGTTTTGATGCTAATAAGGGACCCATCTGTATTACTCTGTGGTTTTCGTGTTGACTATGTTTTTCGAGGGCATCAAAAATAGAATGTTGGCTATAAGTTCCATTTGCGTCGTTTTTCTGATTGATTAACCAATGGCCCCAGATTATTTCTGCCTTTTCTGGGTAATTTTTATATTCGCCTAAAAGTTATTATATTGATAGTAAGGTTGCACAACAATTATAACTTTTATATTGTGGTGCCCAAAATGTTGATATTTAGTAATGATTAATTATTTAAATTAAAATCGAACAGGTCTCCGTTTAGTTTGTTGTGCAACCCTATATCATGTATTTATTTAAATTAGAGACAATGTTTAGTACTAATTGAAAATAAATATATTTATATTGTAAAGGTACAGTTATAGAATATCTTATTTGTATGGGAAAAACTTATTTTGCATTGGATTAAATTGGGAATTAGCGTACAATCGATGACGAATCAGGCTTATTTAGGATTAGCTGTGGATGTAGCATTATTGCTGTTGCTTGTTGTCGCACTACTTTTTATTGTACTGTTGCTGATAGCGTTATTGTTGATTAAATCCATAATACGTTTTTTTCTTAACGCCTGCACCGTAGATCTAGACCACATGTCGCTTAGAATTCGATAAGAACTTTTTTGTGCATCACAATCTCTGGCCATATGCACAAAAAGCCAATTTCCGGCAACGGTATCTCTGTGGCGGCAGACTTTACATTCGCCTGAAATTGATTTTGCATAGTGCGCAAGTTTTATCTCATTTAATTTGTTTTCAAATTTATTTTCATTTGATATCTAGGGTTGCCAACTTGCTAAATGTTAAGGAGACCTGATCGATTATTGGCATTCCCTTGTTAATGCTTGGAAATATTACTTAATTTATTTTGCATAAAATTAATTTTTGTAAATATTTTTTTTGTTGAAAATATTAACGATTGTATAAAAAAGCACCAACTGTTCAAAGATTTAATGGAGAAAATACTGAATCAACATAATAGTTTTTTGAAACTATGTATATTAAATTTAATAAACAAACAAGTTAATCTATTTTCTCCACTTACAACCGACAAAAAGTTGGCAACCGATATCATACGGGCAGAAAAAGTTGGTGCAACAAAATAGTTTATATTAGTTTAGTTCCAGTAATCGTTTCTATCTGCGAGAAATTCGTTAATACAATCGCATATACAATATGTGACAGAGAAAATTTCTTTTTGTTGATAGATCATGTGTACTGTTTAAAAGCTAATGAGAAAATATTTAAACATTCTGATTACTGCTTATATTTAATGAATATCATTTAAAAATATTTCAAAAAGAACATTAAATCAGAAGTTTCTAAAAACGTGATTATTTAAAAAAGTTATAAGATGTAAAAGTTGGGGCGTTTATTAAGAACCATGATTCTTTCGGTGTCAGTCGACTGCCCCTGTCTGAGTTCCATCTTATTTTCTGTGGGATACACTACCAGGAGTCAGAGGACACGATTAAATTGGATTCCGGTTAGGAACATGGGTCTCAAGAGAAATTACAGAAGTGAAAAAATAGGCCTTAACGGAAAAGCTTTGTAATTTGCTCGTTCAAAGCACTTTAAGAATTGGTGGGATAAGGTTATTAGGTCATCATTTTTATTGATGTTTTTTCATTTGTAAGAAGTACGAAAAAAATCCAATACATTTCGAAGTATGAGATGATATTGCTCGCCCATTTTCTTAACTCAAATCAAGTGTCCTTGTTGATGTCGTGACCCGGAAGACTTTTTAGCGGTTTAAAAGCTTCTGAAAATCTTACTGAGTATTTTAATAAGTTCTAGGATAGTTCTAAATGCTATAACTGGAGTAAAGGCAATATTCTAAGTTAAGGTGGTAGAATGTACTATTGAAAGACACAGTGTGCTTACAGAGCTCCAACGTTATCTAGTATAGAGTTTCCAGGACTGGTTCATGTTAAAATAAATTCAAAAGGACTTCCTTTTTGAATTTGTTTAAACACAATCTCCCCAATAATTGTTGCAAAGACCCAGAATTGTAGTAAAGATTGCTCTAGTGAGCGACTATGCGAGTATATGAGTTAGCTTTCTACCTGTGCATAACTTTTTTATTAAAGTTTTATGATTCCTTAAGGTCCACATAACAGTGACGTGTGCGTGTCGTAACCAACCCATCATTTTCTAGGACGTGCTTTGACGAATTAATTTACACGTTACCGCGAGGTGACAATGCCGTGACCAGTCCATGATTCTATTCACATTATTAGGTAGTATTTAAATTCAATATGGGGCGACATTTTCGGACGATAAACTCTTCTTGATCGCTTTTATATTGGACCAAGAAACATCATTTTGAATGGATTCACAACGCATGGGGAAACAGAGCAACAGCAGGAGACTTTGTCAGTGTGTCCGAGGAATTGAAGAACGACGAAAATAATGTTGCAACGAAGTATTATCAACTCGTTGTTAGCTTGGATCGGCAATTGGACCTCCTATATTTGTGGATTGACTGTCATTTCCTACAAGAAAAGGTTACAAATATGTTGGGGTAGATGCCGTCGAAACTAGAGGTAAACAAATCAGGCTTAGTAGGTCCTTGAAAATTTTATATTAATAATATTGTATTGTACGGTGGTCAATTTTGCAGCTTTAGGAAAGTCACAGTACTGTGGTGGTTCCAACGTTTCCAATGCTGCCAGTGAAAGTGGTTATTAAGAACCACCTAATAGATGGTTATAAGAGGATTTTAATTTTTCTATAACAGTCGCACTTTTCGTCAAAACAGCGTTTTCTTTGTTTTACCGGTGTAGAATACATGAAAGCAAATTTAGTTTAATGGAGGTAAATCAAATAGTGGCTTCGTGACCATATCGACTTGATTTTTCAGGAAAACCAAACAAATTTCATTACGTCATGTTGAAATTGAGGTTTGCGTAAACTTCGAACCAATTGCCTAGCGCTTGAAGTTAGTTTGCGGTTATGTCGCTTTATCCGTTAAAAATCCTGTTCAACGGAGTAGCTAAGCAAAAAGTGATCATTTTGGCGTTTCTCCTTTGGTTTGGCGTCGTCAATATATGATCATAATCAACAGATGACGTAGTTGATACTATGACTGTTTTACTATCTTATTCTCCTATGATACAGATTCATTGATTGGTCAATATTATTTTCGATATCACATTGTTTATCAATTGTGTCATATCTATTTGCTGTTTCGTAGCAATTTTATTTCCTGTATTCTTATCATCGAACAGTTGTCTCAAAAAGATTAACTGATGTACTTATAGTGATTAGCAGTTTTTGTGTTTTGTTCACTAACAGTTTAATTTCAATAGATTTTTGAAAATTATCCATATATTTGACATTTAATGGCTCATAAATCTCGAAAAACTGCAGTACTAATTCAATTGATTCCAAGTTCTTCATGATATAAGTTATCAAAACAAAACTTCACGGCATGAAGTTCAAATACCTAATCGAAAAGAATTCTCAATTTCAGATAAGGCATCGGCGGTTGCACTGAGAATACTGTCATGGCCACTGAGTGAGTCAAAGATAGGCCTTCAAGCATTTTTTTAAAGCATCCAACGTTTTACCGATTTATGCATCAACATTTACCAGCTTAGTGCTAAGAACACTTCTATCACGGGAAATTTTGGACATAAAGATAGGAAATTTATCAATTCGAAAGTATTGTACTCGATGTCAAAGTCATTATGGATAAGTTCCTACTCAATGACTTTAAACTTTCAGTAATTTCCGGAGTGAGAGCTAATAAAAGTTTGCTCATGACGAAATGTTGCTTGCACTGTATACATTTAATAAATTTTATGCTTTAATGAAAAGTCCTAAAAGATGCTAATTGCAACTCTGGTGGCAATATACTACTGTTCGGTAGTACTCTGATATCTGTTAAATTTCCGGCGGGAGATACTTGTAACTTGTAACGCAGCGAAAATGTTGTTCATACCCTTTACTAATTGTTACACTTTGTATGCAACCGTTAGCCAGAACACGGTAACGTTACATATCTTTCGACATGTATGGTGGGCACATAAGGTTCGATGTATGATAGATTGGATTAATCTGCTGTATCTCTCAGCCGTTTTGAAAGTTCCTTATTTCAGATAATTCAATTTGATGTACGTCAATCAATTCGTTGAACAGATTTGGTTAAAAGTTGTAGTCTCAATCTCAGCGGTGGCATTTACTTCAATGGTTTCGATATAATTATTTTGGAATGTATAAACCTGTCCATGGACTAAGCATGTTAGGTTGTACCTGCATCGGTATGGTTAGTTATCCCACTAGATCAACCTGGTTGTCATTGAAATTGTCACTTAGTGGAGTGAATAATCGTGTCCTGCAATCAGTTGATGGAGAAAGCAATTACTGCTCATCAGAATGCAGCGATTTTACATGAACATGTCACAGTATAATGATTAAAGATGTCTCGGGATCGTTACTTACCAGAGAGCGATAGAGAGCACTGAATTGAATCCCAAGAATGGAATCATGTGCTTAGGATAATGCGTCGAAGTATAGTTTGAGTGACTTTGATGAAGTCTACATGTCCAACCGTTGTTATGGCCATTTTTTCGGTTGCTGTTGAAATACGAACCATATTGTATACTTAAATACAGCACCAAATTTCATTATATACAGTTAGTACTTTTTTAACGTAAGTATCGTACATTTCTCAATCCTCGACATTTTGAATTCGTTTTAGCTTTAGGCCATCATTGAAAATACTAAATCCCAAAAATTTCATCTTCTTTTCTCGCATTTGACGGTGTTTGAGAGGATTTCGCATTTGCTCCAACGTATCATGATCAGGTGTCATGATAGGTGTCACTATTTTTCTGATTTTATGCGTTGTCCAAGTTGGTAGATCAGATCTTTCTTTAATTCTTATACCTCTCTGTTTGATTCCAGTAATCCAACCACGTAATTGAACTTCATTTTAATACGAATTGTATTTCGGCGTTCACGAGCTATAATTGTGGATTCTTATCTCACAACGATGACATTATAATCGCCATGTGGTGTATTTGCGGAACCGGGAGTCCGATATCGACTTACTTTAATGCGCTATTATCCGGGGTAGTAGTAGCATTATTTGTCTTTTACGCAATTCTGATTGTTAGTATAATCTTACGATAATCACT